AAATAAGATTCTGGACTAGATATAACTTTGCTCTGATCCAGCTGGACTCTTCCCATGTTATTTTGTGGGTGTGCACTAAAAAGGCATTCTGGATCACCAAGAGAATAATGATTAACCACTGTTGCCATCAATAGTCTTTCCCAGCGCACGGTCTCTCTCGCTCTCTCTCTCTCTATATTTTTACAAAACAGTTTAAGGGAACGCACTATTTTAGGAGTTGAATAGATACATAACAATATAACAATGCTTCTTCTAAAAAGAATAAATCTACATTTGAAAACAGTCATTCTTTCTAGCTAACAACACTCTCCAAGCTGGCATCTGAAATAAGATATCTTGTTTATATGACAAAAGTGTTTTTAACTAAGGTGTAATCCTTTAAAATAAAAGAAAATAATGCAATAGTATTTCAGCAAACTTAACAGCAATCCTAGATACATATAAGCCTAACTGAATGCCAAAATAGGGAGGGGGTGGATGACTAGAAAATACTTGATAATCTGATAAGCATCTATTCACTTGCAGACATAGCCATTAAGGGGACACAAGGGCCTTGACAGCTGCTTTGAGTCAAAAATGAATAATGGAAAATGAACAGGGTCAATATTTATGATAGGAGAAAACTATTGATGAGTCACTGGCATTTTCTTGGAGGAAACACAAACCTGTCTGGTAAACATTCTTAAAGAGAATCATTCTGAAGCAGCAGGACCTGCTTATGGTGAAAAACTCCAAAAGCATTCAACTGATCTTCACTCAGCAAGCTGTCATTTTAATGCCCAGGCTGCCATAGATGAAGAGCAATGCTCTTGCACAACTGCAATTCATCACAATAGGGATGTGCTGGAGAACTTCCCTGTGGACTCACTTCAGTGCTCTGAACTAGTTTTGTAATTTATGCATGTGTTCTTGTTTTACATAAAATATTTTGTTTTCCTACCACCCAGTGGCCAAATTGGAATGTACTGGAAGAGGCAGAGAAACAGAATGAAAATAGATGAATCACAGAGATTAGGGATGGGAATTCTGGAGAGAAATGAGATCTGTACATCACACTCATCCCCGATGACTACAGATCCTGCTCATCCCCCCAGGCTTCTGAATTGCTTTATCTTACACAATTGATAAGGACTAGAAACTTTCCTCATTTTTTTAATGAACTATTATGCCCAAGAGAGGAATAAGTGTCCAGCGCTGTACTTATTTATCCTCTCTGAAAGGCAGTGGCAGAATACAACAACTAACAACAAAGTCCAACTGTTGGAGAAGTATAAGCATCAACAACATACAGATCTAAATCTAATCCTTAATTAAGGATTAATGACTGTCAGTCTGAAGACAATGTAACAAGTGAGAAGGTAGTTATTTGAACACAGATTCTGGAATGTATTTTACATTTTCTGTAAGTACTTTTAGGGCAGCGGCCATGTGAAAAACAGGAGAGCTTAATATTTCTCAGGAGCCCTTTAGCTGCCCTTGACCAGAACAGAATGCTGGTTTCACATGGAAGACCAACGAAATATACATTGCGCCTATTCCAAACCATCGCTCACCAAAGGCAGATGCCCAGTTCTAACCATAGGGGGGGGGAGTCATAGACTTTTGTCCCTCCTTTCAGCTTCTACAGTAGGTTATTTATGTTTGTGTGTATTCTTAGATATTTTCAGCAAAAGGGGAAATAATCTGGAGACCCTAGAAATCTACCGACACAGCAGATTACCCAAAGCCACACTCTCTGCTCCATTAATCAAAACAGAAGAATGACAAGTGGGAATATACTGTGGGCATAACAAGCGCTTCGAATCTCGGGGGCGGGACCCTGCTGAATGCCTTGGATCCCATTGGAGGCAGCAAATATTTCCACCCGAGTGGGAGTGAAATGGCTCTCTTCCAGCGGAGCTCCTCTTTCAACCGCACATTTGGCTCTTTCGAGGGCTGGGGGTTTCTCTGGCACAGGGAAGTGGCTTTCCAGCTCCGCGTTCCAAGCCCCCATCATTGCAGAGGCTGGACCACATCAACGCCCCCCCCCACACTTTTCTTATTTGTAGGCATTACATCACCGCTAGGGTTCGGCTGGGCTGCTGCAGCTGCTAATTACCTCGGGCTTCCTTCCTGCCTCCTTGCCCTGCCTGGCTCAGCAGCAGGAAACTTGAACGATCAAGCAAAACAAAGAGAGTCACCTGGCTGCCTACAGCTCCCAGAGTCGCCCAAAGCGCATTTATCTCCAGGTCTGGGTTGAACATACACCAAGACAAGGAGGGATTTTTTTCCCCCAAGGGGCGGAACCTGCAGCAATTTGGGCACCGAGTTTCAAGTTGCTTTTAGAAGTGGGGGGGGGGGCAAGGCAGGTTTTAAGAGGGGGCAGGAGGAGCTGCCCCTGCCATTAGGAGGACTGCTCATTTCTTTCACTCACCCACCCCAAACCATGAAAAAGAGCCCCACAAAACGGGTGGGGAGAGTGGAAAGATGCCAGAAGCAAATCAGTCTGTCCCAGTAAAGGGTGTTGAGTCACCCAGCACACCCCACCGAAGTTTCCATAATGGGGGAGAGGCGGAATCTTTATGAAAATGCCTCGGGTTTGGATGACCGAAGGGCACATTTTGGAGAGGAGGTGATCACCTGCCCTTGGGTTTTTAGGCACTTCTCATTCGCACACCCCCAAACAGGTACGAGTTAAAAGTCTTGCCCTAGATTGAGAGACGCAGGTGAGCTGGAGGGAGCCGAAATCTAAATAATCTTGGGGAGGAAGCACCCCAAGGGGGTGTGAGCCCGGCTCCCTCCAGCTCTTAGCCCACTGCGCCCTCTCCAACAGCATAAGGAACCCTGGAGGCGGAGAAAAGGGAAGCACCCTGGGTGGAAAAAACAAGAGCGAAGAAAACAAGGGCATTAAGCTCCTCCGCTTAATTCCGCGGCAGCGTTAATGCAGAGCAGCAAAAAGGGCTCCATTGGCGGCCTGAGGCCCCCCAACATTTGCGCCTTCCAAACCTCCGCGCCCCCCTCGCTTGCTCCCCAAAACGTCAGGGTAGGAGGGACGGCGTCGATAAGCTCCCTCTCTCCCCACCAACCCCCCCCCCCCCGTCGTCCCAACCTGCTGGGCCTGGGAGCCGAGCGTTTTACCGACGTAAGAACTTACAGAAGCTCCGCCGCTGCTTGAAAGGCCGGTCCGAAGGCATCTCGGCCGGGGATGGAAGGGGTGTGAACCAAGAGCGCCGCGACTCAGCAGGGACAGCGGGATCTTGCCCGGGCTCCAAAGACCCCGCGGCTGGAGAGGGACGCGGCCGAGCTCCCTACAGCCGCCTCTGGCTGCCGGAGGACGCCGCCTCTTTAAGTCCTCGAAGGGCAGCAGGTGCCTCGCGGGCGGCAAGAGCCAGCCGACTGTCGCTGCTGCTGCTGCTGCTTCGTCGTCGCTGCCGCCGGCTGGGCGATCCTCCTCGCTTCCCGGAGCTGGCAAAGCAGCGGTGACTTCACCAGCAGCCTCCTTAAAGGGGAGGTGCGCGGCCCCGCCCCTTCTGCAGTGCGGCCTCCTTGCCAGGGACGCACCGCGGCCGGAGCCGGCAGTCCTCGGCGCTCTTTCCGCTCCAGACGCCCTGGCGAGGAGGCTGGGCTTCGCGGGGAAGGGAACAATGCAGGCGCGGGGAAGGGCGAGGAGCATGCACAGAGTGCTGCTTCCTCGGGCTCGTGTTTTTAGCTGGCGCAGGCCTCGCTACGGAGGGAGCCTCGGGTCTCTCTTTTAAAATAAGGAGAGGCCCGTTCATCGAAGACTTAACCTCGGATTCCCCCTCCCCGCCAATCCTTCCTTTCAGGCTCTGATAAACCACAGGAATAAATCGAAGCAGAAAGCCTCAAATCGCCTTCAGAGCAATCCATAAGGCTTTCCCCCTTCTCTTGATGATATAGCCATAGTGATGCCATGAACCCAGTAAAATGCCGCTGAACATGTACAGAGTGCCCTCTTCCTACTGAATAGTCCAAGCAGAATAACCTAATTATGTGAACAGGAATTCTGGGTCAGAAGGAGCTTTGAGGTTGAGCAGGGTCTCATATGCTTATTTATATTTTTATGAGCAAGTACCCAAAGGTGGTGTTCTACCCTCGCCCCACCATTTTATCCTCCCTACAACTCTCTGGTGTAGGTTAGACGGTCCAGAGGGATCATGACTACTTGGCCAAGGTCACTCAATGAGATTCATGGCTAAGAAATCCTTGTGGAATTTACAGCAGCACCAGCTCCCATTGCAGGAACTCAAAAACCTATAGGCCTCTCCACCGCTCTAAACGCAACTAGTCTCCTGCTTCTCTCTCTCTCTTTTAATTATAAGGGCCAGTTCTACTGCAGCAGGGCTTGGGACCTTAAGTCCCTAGCACCAAATCTTCACACCCTCTTTGAGTGGTTTTACCTGGTTGAAATGCATCCTTGACTCTGATAATGCCTGGATATAGAAAAGAGCTGAGTGCATGAAGAAACCAGCCTACTGTGCAATTGTAAAATTTACATGCATTGCACCCAGTGGCCACCACTGCCTCCTGTGGAAGTGAGTTCCATGGTTTATGGGCTGTCTGAAGAAGTACTTTCTTTGATCTGTCCTGAATCTTCCAACATTAAGCTTCATAAGTTCTAGTATTTAGCATTATGAGAAAGGGAGGAAACATTTCTTTCTATCTGCTTTTTCCAGGTCATGCGTAATTTTACAAACTTCTATCATGTCTTCTTTGCCTTTTCTCTAAACTAAAAAGCCCCAAATGCTGCAACCTTTCTGAGAGTCGCTCCATCCACTTACCATTTTGGTTGCCCTTTTCTGAATCTTCTCCAACTCTCCCAATTTCCTTTCTGAGGTGAGGCAACCAGAACCGTACACAATTTTCCAAATTCAGTCACTCAAAATGCTCAGGAATACCGTGACAGCGTGGGTGATTTCAAGATACGCAAGACTTCCAATTTCTGTATTAAAAACTCAAGGCTACTGAAATCTTTAAAAATCAAAGGTCACAGTCCAGAATTCTTCTATTCTTTTAATCAGTTTCAGAAGAAACAGCATCTTCCAAATTTAAATAAGTGTCAAAATAAAAAGGATGCAAAAGAAAAACTAATTTATGATTAGAAAGGTTTCAGACAACATGTCCTGTACAATTACATTTTCTGGAAAAAAATCTTTGACACTTAAGTTAGCCTGATTTCCTTGCTTTTCTTCTTCATCTAGTTACATTTTAGTTATATGAAGATACTCCTTGAATTTACATTTAACAGTTAAAAACAGAATCTCTCTCAGACATTATTAATGTGGCACAAACAATTATTTACTAACAGCTTTTTGGACGTTAAATAAAAATACATTTAAGTATAAGGAACTGAAGGTCATTTTGAGAGGATTTCACTCCGATGGATTCTGAACGACAATCAGGAAATAGTCCTTATCTGCAAGGAAATAAAAGAGGATTTTTTTTTTTAAAGTATTTTATTGTTAGTGCTAATTTAATCACATGCATTCTAGGCTCAGTTACAGATAGAACACTCTAGGAGTGGAAGTCTCACTTCTAGACCAAGCCCTTCACAACTGGCCAGCAGCACCTAGACCATCTTATATACAAAGCACAAGAAGAGGAAGTAGAAGAAGTTCAAGAGTTGTTCAGAAGACTTTGGAGTAAAATATAAATAGGACCAAGTTGCAAGATTGTGAAAGATATGTAAAACCCCCATCAGTGATAAAGTTCTTCAAAGTTATTAGAATCTGAATAGGAAACCCATCTAAAACTCTTTCACCACTATTTGGAATCCACACTTTTCTGTATTTCCTATATAGGAGTACAAAATAAAGAGTGTATCCCATATAAAAGTTTAGATTTAGAGATAATGAAATTCCACTTTGGCATCCAAATGTTCCAAGAAGAGCTTTCCCTGTTTATTTTACCTGGCGCAACCATGATTTCGTTTTTCTTGGAGCGAATCCGCAAGAACGTGAGGTCATTCTGGGGATCAATATCTCGCACGGTCCCTCTTGCCTTCATTATTAAGTTGTGCATTAAGCCTGCATACTGCACTGTGGTGGGGTTATCCATGGTGCTTTTGATGGGAATGCCTGCAGGGTGCAAAATGATTCTGTGGTTATGTTAGGCTAAGACATGGTTTGATATGAGAAACTTAAGGGCCTAACCAGCCCTGTCTGCAGAAGGCCTGTACAAGGACTTCCGCTTGTGCCTACCAAGTGAAGAAAGCTTACTTCTTTGCCACCACTGCATCTGCAAGTAGCCATATGGCAAAGCTTTTCTGAGTGGCGAATGGGCTTTTGTCATCTGACCAAGACAGTATTGCTCTGACACCCTCCTTTGCAATTCACTTTAGGGGGGGAAATCACTCGTATTCAAACAAAATTGGATGCCACAGTTACCCCAAGTCCAATGGAAATGCCTAGAACACTGCATCTTCCATCTATACTGAATCAGTTTAGATTATTGCAGCCTGAGGATGTGGTCAAACTGCTTGAAGAAGTGCAGCTGATCACCTGCCCGCTTGATGCTTGCCCATACTGGTTTCTAGCCACAGGGAGTTGACTTGGATACAGGAAGCGATTGATGCTTCACTGGAGAAAGGGCAAGTACCATCTGCCTTGAAGAAGGTGGTGGTGTGGTGTGTCACCTCCTTAAGAAGTCCTCCCCTTGGCCAAGAAGTGTTAAACATCTATCACCCAGTGGCAGATATCCCCTTTTGGGACAAAGCGCTCGAGAAGGTGGCAGTGGTCCAGCTTCAGGCATGCTTGGAGGAAGCTGATTACTTGGAACCATTCCAGTCAGGCGTCAGGCCTGGTCATGGCACTGAAACTGCCTTGGTCGCCCCAGTTGCTGATGTTTGGTGGGAGAAAGAAGAGGGCAGTCTCCTCCATCTCTTGGCCACTTTCAATACTGTTGATCACAGTATCCTTCTAGAGTTTCTCATGGAAGTAAGGGTTGGGTGAACCGTGCTTCAGAAATCTGATGACACACCTATTTACCCTGGCCTTTTGACACCTGAGATGTATATTTTCAGGACCCACCTTATTTTTTGTGAATATAAGTTGTTTTTAATGTTGTGTTTTCATTGTTGTAAACCTGCTCTGGGATCTTACAGTAAAGGGCAGGTAATTACGGCGAAGTTCTCCACCACTGTTAATAGGGGCTTGCAGATCACAAGTAACATTTTAGGAACAGGCACACAGGCAGACATTCAGCAGCATTACACCATCCCAATTTGTAGAGGAAGACGCAAAATTAATTGGCCACAAGCAGTGCTAAATTCATTATCAAAGGTACAGCACATCTTTAAAGATATGTACTATGCCTTTTGATTTCGCTGGGACTTACTCCCATATAAACATGCATAGGATTGTAGCCTTAGCACCACAGCAGACATTTCTAACATGCAAGTGGGTTTCTCTAACCCAAGTGTGTTATATGTAGCCCATGGAAAACTCTGTCTGGCTCCTGGAATTCTCCCCAGACTGTACAACCCTTTTCCAAGCCACACCCCTCACTGGCTCCATGCCACACCTTGAATATTTCTGCCTGGCGAGAATGTATCCCTGAGTTCTGATAATGCATCTTCCTGGATCAAGGCTAAAGAAACCAGTATACTGTGCAAAGGTAAAATCTACATTCATTGCTCCACCCACTTTTCCCTCTGGCCCCATTCATCACAGCATGTGGCGGTTCACACATACCTAAGAAAACAAAAACAAACTAATAACCCCCTCCCACACAAGAATATTTATTATTAAATTTATTGCACAATCAGGATAAATTTACTATGTCAATATAGCATCAGGGCCTAAAAGAGTGGCTTTCACCAACAACAACCATAATTGCACAATACCTTCTGAATTAACAATGATGATTCCTTGGACCCCCTTTTGACTCTGAATTCGCTTAAGGGTTTCTTCTACCTCAGCCTGGAAGAAAAAGAAAATATGAAAGCGTATCTTGAAAGATGCAATCCCCCCCCCCTAATAATGCTGTGTAATAAGACATCTTGAAAGACTGGAGGGGTAAGAGGATTCGGAGAGATACTTCTCGTGCTCCAAGCACAGACGCACAGCTCTCTCCAGCACCATCATATCATCAAAGTCTGCTTAAGCTTTTCTTAAGGCCACAATTTTCCTCCCATCATCTGGCAATAAGTCCTGGGAAGCCAGAAACTGGTTCCGCTTATCCGTTTCAGTGGCTTTGCTTATCAGGCTCAGACGTTACACAAGGCAGTGCGATGATAGGGGTGAAATCCTGGCGCATCTTGCACAGAAGTCTCCCCCTCTCATGTTACAACAAAAGCCTCTTCACACATCACTTCCTATATGGAAATCAGCTTTATGCTGGAAAATATCTTGCAGAATGCAACCTGGGAAGCACAGTGCAAATATTTAAATGCTGCTATGGCAAGCCAAGATGTGTCATTTAAAAGGTTTCATGGTTCGGCAGCAATGGCATGTAGACGCTTCTAAGAGGTAGGTTAGGGTCAGAAACGGACTGGCTCAAGGTCACCCATTGAACTTCATAACCAAGTGGGGAACTGAACTCTGGTTTCCCAGGCCCTGGTCATACAAACACACATCCCCACATATATAGTTAAATGCTCTTTTTTGTTTGGTTTAGGCATGTCTACCTAGATAAGGATTTTTATTAGAAGAAGAAGAGTTTGGATTTGATATCCTGCTTTATCACTACCCGAAGGAGTCTCAAAGCGGCTAACATTCTCCTTTCCCTTCCTCCCCCACAACAAACACTCTGTGAGGGGAATGGGGCTGAGAGACTTCAGAGAAGTGTGACTAGCCCAAGGTCACCCAGCAGCTGCATGTGGAGGAGCGGAGACCCGAACCTGATTCCCCAGATTACGAGTCTATCACTCTTAACCTCTACACCACACTGGCTCTGAATTTGCCCAAATTTTAATAAGTCTTCTGTCTTCTTGATTTTAAAGTTTGGTTTTGCATTTTTAAAATATGCATGCCTTATTGTTTTGTCTAAATTACTTAGAGTTATATTAATCATGTTAAACAGACACACACACCATATCTATCTATATATATACACACATACGCACGCACGCGCACACACACACACCTGGAACTCAAGATAATGCAATGCATCTGATAATGTGGACTTATACTATAATAAATTAGTTAGGTTTTTCAGGTGCCACGATACACTTTTGTTATTTTGACAAAACTGTGTCAAAGGTACCCACCAGAGGTTTCTGCCTGCAGATCATTTTGCCTAGACAAGGCCAGACCTGTTATTAGGGAGACTACTTCATCTCTGCAGCCAGGAGGGCCATGACCACAACCACATGGAGAGGCACCAGTGATTAAGGAAACAAGTAAAGTGGCCTGGAGCAATCAAAATCCACAACAGAAAATCCAAACTAGACAAGTCCTGACCATGATCAAGTAAAAAATGTTTAGTTCCACAGTATATGCAATCTGAATATGTGGTAACAGGCCCTTTGCCCCATGCTCAACCATAAAATGAGGTTATATATTTTTCAAACTTCTGCAAACCTGGCAGGGAAGGGGGGAGAGGGTTCCCTGCGGAGGCTGATGCTTCCCCTCTTCTTGGTCAGTTTTGGCTACAATGCTAGCAGCATTCAGCTCATGAGTTTGCTATTATAGTGGAAGTGATAGGGGAACACAAGGTTCAATATCATACTTCAAATGTATGGTGTGCCCACACTTGAAATACCGTATTTACTCGAATCTAATGCTCACCTTTTTTGGCCAAATTATGTTGCGGAAATTAAGGTGTGCATTAGATTTGATGGCATATTTACATTTGCCAGCATTTTTTTTGTTTTTGTTTCAAAGTTCTGAACATTGAGGTGTGCATTAGATTTGATGGCACATTAGACTCGAGTAAATATGGTACATGAGGCCCAGGGACGGGGACTTATAAAAAATATTGGGGGGGCCCGGGAAAGCTCATGAATAATAAATAAGCTCATGAATATGCAAATAAAGTGGCTCCGGCCCTAAATAGGGCAAGCCACGCCCCCCCAGCCAGCCGATTGGCTGGCTGGGAGGTGTGGCCAGTCGGGATTCCCCTGTTCTCGCGGGGGCTGAAACCGCCAGGAGGAAGGAAATTCCCCCCGGCAGTGCCTTGGCAGTGGCGGTGGTGCTGCGAAGCAGCGAGGCAGGAGCCCCCACCCCCGGCGCCCGAGATTATTGGGGGGGCTGAGCCCCCCCAAAAAATTTTTTGAGGGGGCTCGAGCCCCCTCAAGCCCCATGGAGTCGGCGCCTATGATGAGGCCACCATCATGCTGGAACTGTAGAGGTTTGACCAGTGACTGCCTGGATGGCTGACTGCTTGTGAAGGACACGTTGACAGTCTTGGGTTCCATGATGGAGAAAAGGTGGACTATAAATGCAAATATATATGCACCATGGAACACCCATGCATTGTCTTCTATATATATGGCCAACAGGCAATAGTAATGCAATACTGTGTATTTCTGTATTCGGTGTGCTTATTCTATATGATTTATGCTGTATTTATGATGCTCTATTATGTTATGTCACATTATTGTAGTTTGTAAGCCGCTTTGGGATTCATCTGAATGAAAAGTGGCACAGAACTATAATAAATCAATCAGTCAATTCAAGAGCATATGACAAGCTCTACTGGATCAGGAACCAATGACCTATCTAGTTCAGTATCCTATTCTCACAGTGGTCAATGAGATGTCTCAGTAGGAAGCCTGCAAATAAACCTGAGCACTCAGCACTCTCCACACTTGTAATTCCCAGGAACTGGCATTCAGAGGCACATTGCCTCTGACAGTACAGGAGGAACATACCTGCTGCTGCTAGTAGGCCATTGATGTGGTCTTTTAAGTTTAGTTGTACTGTACACAGGACTTAGGAAGCAACCCACATGCATCATCTTACAAATAGTTTTGGGTGCCAACAACATGCCTTGGAGAGACCTTTTGACGGAAAGGAGAGCTAAAGAGATTTTAATAAAATAATATATACATGCAGCAGTCCCGAATCTAGACATTTTGCAGAATTCTATACAAAGTACACTGAAGGGCCAAATGTTGTGCAGGGGCAAAAGTCGTGGGTTTGGACACTAGGAGCCACAAACGCAGACCCCACTCTGCCAACAAATACAATGCAACAGAAAGCCACTCTGTCAGCGGACCCTGCCCCATTGTGATGTTGGGGGAAAATGAGCTCCTGGGAGTACAAAATGTATCAAGCGGGAATGCATGCAGGTGAGAGAGCGTTGCGCATCATGAGCAGTGCGCCTGTTCTTATATGGGACCAGAAAGATGGTCACATCACGGAGATGGGGATGATGCTGTAAACAATGCAAGAGGCCCCGAAACCCGCGTGCCAAGAGGACGGCCGTGGAAATGCACGCGATCAGAGAGAAGCTGAACAGCAAAAGAAAAAAGCTGGTGAATGCAATGGGCCCCTCAGCCACATCCTTTGATCCCGGACCCCGGGGCGCGCAGGAGCTGGCCGGGTGTGGCACATCACAAGGCGGCAGCGGAGTCTGCTCTGGACTTTTCCAAAGAGCTGCCCAGGAAGTCTCCACTGGTCACCCGAAACCCACCCAGGAAGTCTCCTCTTTTCTGCGACGGGGAGAATTCGGCAGCAGCAGACCGCCCACCCCCCCTTCACTCACCATCTTGCAGAGAGGGAGGGAGATCAATGCCTTCCCTGGGAGGTACCCACAAGCTGGCACCCGAGCCCCGTCACAGTGAGCGCGCGCGCCTGCGCCCCAGTCTCACCCCGCAGGGCGAGCCGCGTCCTTAGCCAATCGTTAGAGAGGGAAGGCGGGTTCATAAGTTTAGGGACCGGGTGTCATTTCCTACACCGCCCTCTTGTAGGAAAACATTCTGTGGGGGGGGGGAGTGGGGGTGGCGGCTATGAATCGTTGCTTTGGAAGGCTCTCCATAAACACAGAATGGGTGTTTGCAACTTCGCGTATGAAGGAGGAAAATGCGTAATGCTGGACGACCCAGTAGCTCAAACAGAGGCATCGGTGGCATAAGCTGTTCTCTCAAGGGGGAGAAAACTGAGCGTGATTTCATTGCTGAGACCCAGGTTCAAATGCCTACTCGTTTGAAGCCCAGGGGATGGTGCTTGGGGACATTGGCTCTCCTCGCGGTGGCTAAAATAGGAATTGGATGGGCAAAGAGTTTGCTACCTGGGTCCTTCTGGGGGGATGTAGAAGTATGTAGAAAGAAAGCAGTAATTTAGTGTTGGAACATAAGATCGACTTAGAAGAGAACAAGCATTATGGGATATTTTCAAAGAACGCTTAAAAGGAGGTGGGGTGGAGAGGGCGCTTGACAAATTTCGCCTGGGAGAGAGGCTTGATGCCACTGCCAAGGGGGGGCTGCTTCCGGTATTCAAAACCATCCAAGTTTAACAAACGCAGGGAAAACCAGGCCCCAAATCGTTTGTGACTTTTCAGCTGTCATTGGGCTGCTGGGATTGAAGGGACACACGACTTTAGGGAGGGGTGCAGGTTACCCAACCCTGGATTAGGGCTTGAGAAAGATCAATACCAAGCCCTTAAATTGATCCAGGAAACACACTGGTACCAGTGATTTTCTTAATTGAGAGGCTGATAAAAGTTCTGCAAACCACCCACCCTCATTCTCTCACTCAAATTCCTGCTTAGCTACAGACCAGTTAAGGGCAAGGTTGGGTGGCTAGGAATGGTAACACCCCCATGTACATGTTCTGTATGTAGAAATCCCCACGAAGCTTACTGGTATCACCAGCAGCAGCAGGGGAGCCGCAGCATAGCAGGTAAACTTTTGCCATCTCTCCCTGATTTGTGTTTGCTGCTGCTCTCTCTGCAAGGAAGTGGGCAGCCACTGGATCATGGACGACAGGCTCCCACCCCACTGGTTTGCAATAGCTGGCCTGGACACCAGGCTTCTAGCTGGGGTGGGGAGATCAAATATAAAACCAAACAAATCACAGGGTTGACATAGCTGACTTCTGGGTTAGGGTGTGTTGGTATTTGAGGTTTTGTTTTGTTTCATCTGCTGGTTGGGGTGGAAGTATGATTTTTGTTTCACTTTTAGTGCATTGCCAAAGTTTTCTATCACAATTATAGGGGGTTGTGTGGTTTTTAACATGCCGTATGAGATGTCTGTTTTGTATCAATTCTCCCCTATGATATAATGTATTTATGTGTATATCTTCCCATGTAGGTCATTTGAAAGCCTTTTAAAAAGCAAGTAACTATAACGTTTAATAAATAACCATGCTTAGCCTCATTCTGTAAATGTGTTGTTTCGCATGAGGCCTTGCTTCCTCATTAACTCCTCTGTATTAAAAGCACAACATGCTATTTTAGTGCATGGATGGCTAACACTTCTAGAAATGGCTTTGCTCCAGCTCCCATCATCCCTGACCATGCTGAATGGGGCTGCTGGGAGTTTGAGCCCAACAAAATCTAAAAGGCCCCAGGATAGTCACCCCTTATTTAGCAGAGGGCACACAATTGCTGGCTTTTTGGCACTACTGTATTCAAGTGCTATTCTGCCATCTAGTGATGTGGCCAGGAAATACATGTCTATACCAGTAACAGAAAAATTCCAAACAAATGTCACTAAAATGCAGTTACCTGCGGACTAGGACTTGCAGTAATGTAGAAGTTTTGGATATGGGAAATCCATCAATGTAAATGGGTTTCCTCAGTTATAATTGGATGCAACACTTTGACCCATTTGTGATCAATGACAGTGAGAGCATAGCATACGCAAAAGCTTTAGTCATCAAAACAGGAAGCCGATGTGCGACAATATTTCCTGGTACTGGTTTGTTACTGACAGTGACATTACAATATCTCCACCTCACAATGGCAACCTAGGCTAAGACTAGTTCACTAAGGAGTCAACAGGATAGGAGAGAATTACAATTGTGCAGACAGCTACAAGGTGTGTGTTCAAAGTCCATGAAGCACATACATGTCAGTGTGAAATAAAAGGGAAACTTTAACCTAGAGGAAGTGTATATGATGTGGAATTCGCTCCTTTGGTAAAAACATAAATAAAAACAAACCCAACATTTCGTATAATATAGACAATTCCATTTAAGTGACGATTAGAGTGAATGTATGTTGCTCAGTGACTGTTGTTGCATTGTTTAAGGCTTTTAAGAGAAACATTTCACACCATACAAGGAATGACAACCACCACCAGCTTTTCAGTACTTTTATAAAAGTTTGACTTGGTGAGAGACTTTTACAGTTACCTGAGTATTGGAAATTACAGTTCAAGGAAAATTTAACAATGGGATTCCAGTACAGTATTTTACAATCCAGTGCCTCTGATCCCAGTTCATAAACTAGTTAGCTAGGGCACATATGCATAACAATGATTCCAGGGGGGCAAAGGGGGACGACGACGTGACAGACCATCACAAAAGGAGCTGGAGATACCAATGCACTGAATGGAGCTTCAATTCAAACCCCACTGTAGTGTGTATTTATGATGAATATGAATCAAGAGCTCTACACAATGAAAATGGCTGATCATGAAACCTTACACACTAAAAACTGGAAATGTAAATTCCATACAACCTATCCTGAGCTTTCCAGAAAGATAAGGCTTAGAAAAAATTAAGATCTGTAGGTTGAAGTACGTACTTTCATAAGGCAAAAATTCAAATAACTGATTAATGTTTCCAGTCAGATTGTGATGTTATCACATGCATGCAGCAGAATGTGGTTATTGCTGTCCACATGCTGTCGAAGCTGTTTGAAGCAGAAAAGTCTTAATATTTGCAGAAAGGACTTGTTGCAATCCAATTCATTTCAGTCCGTCGCCCATCAAACCAAACTGTGCTTCCACAAGTCTCCCAGGTTCCCACAATGAGAAGAGTGTGCCGACTGCTCAAATTACTTTTTATTATTGCAACATTACATGGCATAAAAATAACAGAATTTAGAATTTACAATGCAAAGGGACTTTAAAAGTAAGTTTTCATTCTGATCTTAGAAATATTGCAATCATAATGCTTAACAACAAATCTCTTTTAACAATACTTCATGGTCAAGATTCCATTTCTTAAATATCTTCAGTTTTGAGTGTTCAAAATACTTTCTTGTGCTTGGGATATCCAGCCCCCATTACCCATGTAATACAGCAGTAAAGACAAATAAACATGCCATTTAAATTAAAATAAATTGAAGAAGCTAGACCCCCAGACTGCAAAAATATATACAAGCTTTTACTTTTTCCTGAACTAAACATCTGAGCCATAAAAATATTAAACAGCCTTGCGCCCTATAGAACTAGGGCTTCAGCTATTTCAATTAGAACTACTCTTTATTTTAAAAATATAGGGCAGAAAGCCTTTTGAATGATATTTATACATTAACAATATTCCTAGGTCCCTAAACAAATCATGAGCCATTATGGAGAACAGACTATTTTCCATAGCTTACTCTTGGTTACTTCATTTCATTTCTGTATTGTAAATGTTAGTTAACTAAGATGTATTAAAATCAATAAACAAAATATTTCTAAGGCTTTTTCTCCTCCGTAAGCTATATTTCTAATACACCCATCAGGTTTCTGATAGGTGGCATAGGTAGACATATCTCCAGCATTCACACATGCGTCCTCTACCCACAGAAGCAGTAGGCCATTTGTGTAAGGGGAAAACTTCTACGTATATATATATATTAGAAGACACAGTGAAAGGGAGGAAAAGGAGAGCATGTTCTATTACCCTCTTCTTGTAAGCTCCAGCCAAGGGGAAATGGGCTGTTTATATTACTTCACAGAAGAGTCCTAAAGTCGGACAGTTGTAAAAATGGTTGAGCCCACTAGCTTTCAATAGCCCTGAATTAAGTCTCCCCCCTCCTTGCCCCCACCCCTCCAAGTCTGGATGGGGAAGATGATATTTGTTACCAAGACAAAAATGTTTGATCTTCAACTGTCACGGCAAGCTTTCAAACTTTGCTGCCTGCGCACAGCAAAACAATGCAAGTATATAGTTATCAACATGCACTACTGCCGGTTCAAATATCATCACTTCTCCCATTTCACAGCTGCATGCACACCATGGAATTATAACAACCTGGAGGAAAGGATACAAGGCAGCCAAGCTGGGGTAAAGAACAAAGTGCTTTCGTTCCAAAACTGGGAGTGTAGTTTAAGTACTGTTGTAAGCTACGATGGAAGTTTTGAAATTGTGATAATATAAATAACTGAAGCGCAAATCAGATTTAAAAACAAGGGCAGCACAAGCTGCCTGTAAGAAGCTGCTCAAGAGTGCTAGCCTAGAAGATGCACAGTCTCCATCCTCTAAAGGGTTACTGGGTGGGTTTTCCTATGTAAAATTTGGATTCTTTCAAGAATTCCACTATTGCACATCCATTTCCTACAATACAATTCAATGCATGTTGACTCAGAAGTAAGTTTCACTGTGCTCAGTGAGGTTCACTTCCAAGCAAATGTGCACAGGATTGCAGCCCCAGAGAAATTAAAGTGGCGGTTTCATGGCAATGATTCAGCCACTACTTGGAAGTGATATTCCCTCGTTCAGAGGAAAACAAAGAGTTGTTCATTTCAGGCATTCGCCTACAAACAGGACTGGAAATGAATTCCAGCTGCTGCCTTTTAAAGAGACCTTGTATTCTCTTTTAAATTCGCTCCTAAAGTTGAGAATTAGTCAAGAATAAGTTAAAATTCCTATGAATTTGAAGAAGCACATTCAAATGTAGGGATAAACCTGAGGAATGTGATCATCATGGTTAAATAAATAAAAGTGCTATGCTCTGTAAGTGTGCATTAGCTTTTCAGGTCCTACTCTGCAGCTTGAACTGAGGTGATGCGGGAATAAAGTTTGGAAGGCAAACACAGTTAGATCTCACTTGGGTAAGAAACAGTTAACATAAGCAATGGATCTGTTTACAGCACCTCCGGAGTCTGATTGCAAGGAAGCACTGTTAGCAATAGGATGGGTGGTGCAGCAGCAAAAGGATGCTACTATAGCAGAGTAACTTTTTAAAAAAAATCAAGAACACATTCCAGTTAATGAACATGACCCAGGACAGAATCCCAGAAGTACAGGAAGCCTCTGGTTAGGGAAGATTTCATTTATAGTTGTATCATTCTTGGATTTCGCAAAGGGACTCAGGAGAAATCAATAATTAGTGGGAATAAAATGGCAGGATAACATCCATTTACTTACACACTAGCAATTGTTTAAATAAATCAAGGTCAAGTCCTGTTTACAGTAAGAAGTGCAACTAGCAGAGGCAGTGAAGAACTCACACCATATATGACTTAACGTTCTTCAGGTGCAAATTCTCCCCAATTGTTATTCTTGCCCGAATCCTTCTGTTTCTTCTATTGCAAACAACAGCTTTTCCTTCAGTTGTTCATAACTCTTGTATGGTGGCAAGTCCAAGCGGTTGAAACTGAAAATAAGCAGCAAACCTCACTTTCATTTGAATAATTAACCCACAAACACAGGAACAAAAGTTCCCCACTATTTACACCTTTGACAGTTTAAAACGTGAGAGGCATATTTATCTGACATTATTCCTCAACTTTGGATCACAGCAGCAACCTAGGTACAATACTGTGAACTTCCAGGTTTCTATCTTGTGTGCTAATCTGCTTCATTCTATTAGGAACACACTGTCCACAGGGTTGAATCCAGACTCTGCCCTCAATGAACAGAAGGGCTCCTGCACATACAAGACTTTTAATCAAGGAATCCTACTGGCAGAAGATGGGTGCCTCTTCCAATTTCTCCTTCCCCCTGCAGCTGGCAGTGTCATTTCCCACTGCAAAGGGAAGTGAGCAATGTCTCCTCCCCCACTTATATCAGCTGAAGTGAAGGATTCAACTTCAGAGTAAGTCCATATTTATTTCCCAAGACCTTAGGGAATACTGATTTTAACAGGACTGTGAATGAATCTGTTTTTCAATACTGGTGGTTGTCGTTTTTTAAAAAAATGTTTTCACAACTTTTCATTCCTGGGCAGTCAAGAATATATCTAAAATAGAGTGAAGGAGAGCCTCATCAAGGACTGTCATGTAGAATGGTACAGCAACGCTCTCAACATGCTTGAAATGTTTATTTTGGCATCTGACAATATGGTAAATTAAGAAGCAGCGAAGAACATCTTAAATACCAAATTATGTTTTGTATGAAGGCACACCATTTGCTAAAGGCAACACATGATTTTGTGTGTCTAGTGTTGAGACTACACGACCCTAACGATTCCTTGTCAAAACGGACTTAAGCAACCAATTACACAAACCAAATTACTCACATTTCTTGTGAATTTGATCTAAAAAAATACAGTACACCTGTCATTCTAGATGAAACCAACATAGGTTAAGCAAAAGTAAAGATACAGCAGACTTATTTTAAGTGCTCATTTTTAAACCAGAAACTTTGGCTCTCTGGGCTACCACACACATTTTGTTTGGAGTCAAACATGAGTTTGCTATCAAGTGTACACTTAATAAAGAAGCTCCAGTTGATTATATCTTTATGATGCATATTGACAATTTTGTATGTCACATTCATATGTGTGCCATGTATTGAGATGTAATTTTATACATCTTACGTGTATAACTAAAAAACGTGATGTGGTGCTAAATCTGTTATTTAAATGCCAAATAGGATCATCAACTGTAGAAAGAAGTATCAGAATCACAATTCTCATCTAATATATTTCACTCACCAGGTATGGCTTCTAGGTAACCAGTTTTCTTTGCCAACTTTCTCAATACAAAACTTCTGGGGTCCATTACTCCCTAAAATAAAATAATAATAATACAAGATATGGGAAAATAAAAATTGCAATTTTTTTTTCATAACTAAATACACATTGAAAATAAAATCGTTTTGGCCCAGACATTTGAATTTGATAAGAAGTAACCCTAAGAAGAGTTCTCAAAGTTTTAAGAACTCAGATGTATTTTATGGCAATAGAAGACACTGGTCATACTATTGAATTCCTGTCAGCAAAATCTTCCCAGTAAGTGGCATTGCCACTACAGCTTGGTAAAATATTGTCATGCAAAGCTCTTACATGGGTCAGATATGACCAGGGAGTCATAAAGTGCTTTATGCCCCACGGACTTTAAGGTCCATAAATAGCAACACCCTAGAGGTCCCGGGCCCTAAGGAAGTTAGATGAGCTTCAACCAGAGCCAGGGCCTTCTCAACACTGGCTCCGGCCTGGTGAAACGCTCTGTCACATGAGACCAGGGCCCTGCGCAATCTGATTTCTTTCCGCAGGGCCTGTAAGACAGAGTTGTTCCGCCTGGCCTTTGGCTTAGAATCAGTTTGATTCCCTCCCCCTCTTTCTTTTTCCTTTCTCCTCCTGTGAAGAGGCTGCATCCTAATGTTTTAACGTATTTTAATCTTGTTCTTTAAATTGTATTTTAATCAACTTGTTTTTATTATTGGTTGTTAGCTGCCCTGAGCCCGGTCTTGGCTGGGGAGGGCGGGGTATAAATAAATTTTTATTATTATTAAGCCTCTAGATGAAATTATTGCAAAGCTTTATACATTGGGCTGCTTTTGAAGACAATTTGGAAACCATAAGTAGGGCAGAATTTGACAGCCAGATATATGCTTTGACCACTCAGGCCACCAATTCTGGCCTGAGTAGAAAGTCAATTTGCTCCCAAGCCTAATTGGAAGTGCTGCTTTTGACCCTATATGCCTCGGGACCACCATACTTCAAGGAACACCTTTCCCCCAAATTTTGAACTGACAACTCAAGCCAACATTCTGACACACAGGGTCATCCTGGCTCTTGCACACTTAGGAATAATTTTGCATACCCATGAGGTCAGAAAATCCTCCAACTGGTAATCGGCATGTTCCAGTAACAAACTGTAGTAGTCTCATCCTCTTCTCATTATCTATGTCCTTCACAAACTGAAAAAGAACACATTTAAAATAGCTGTACAGACCCCATACCTATTCTAGTCTTAAAAACAAATAAAATTTATATAATCCATTCTCATATCCTTGTGTTTTGAGGTTCTATTTTTTGGTAAAAGGGCAGTGGAAGGAACAAGGATAGAGGCAACAAAGACAGCTTCTATGGGGAATAGTAGTGGAAAAGCCTTTCGAGGAAGCTTATTTAACTAGAGTGCCTGGATAAGCTTCTGAAGTATTAGTGTGAGATATCAGTTGTGTTAGCTGTATCCCACTGAAGATTTTGTATGGTTTAAAGACTGTAAAATGTCCTAAGAGGTAACTAAAAAAGAAAAGAAAGCCTTTCCTCCTCATCCATGATTTCTTTTTCCAAGCCTGGAGATGCCCACGTTCTTCAGTGTTTGTTATCTCATTCCCAGGTAAAGAAAGGATTTGAAATAAGAAACATTTTTGCACAGTTCTGAACATATAGATCCATAGAATAGTTTGTAAGTAACCACAAAGCCACATAAGATCACTTTAAAAAGACACTGCCAAAGGACACTGTACCTTAGTTTTTGTCAGCCATTATATACTATCATTTTTAACTTTGTCACCTAAGTCTGGCTTCACTATTACCACATTTTTCATACATAGAACTTGTACCATACGTGCAAAATGTTCCAGCTTCAATCCCTGGTATCTCCAGATAGGACTGGAAAAAGACTGCTGTCTAAAACCTTGAAAAGCCACTGCCCATCAATGTACTCTACAATTAAGGCAATACTGACCTAGATGGACCCTGTTCTGACTAAGTGTAAGGCAACTTCCTATGCTTTAAGTATTTTTACTATCGCTCACATAATTCCAGTAGGAAACCTGCTACTTTCCCCATTTTTGGATGAGCAAGAAAGGCTGAACAATTGTGACATTCACAGGGTCAAGCAGCATCTATAGCAGGGTATAAACAAGAAACAGTTTTAATGTGCCACAAGACTACTGTTATTTATGCAGCAACAGTCTTAGCATAGCTCCCCCTCTGAAATCTGTTGGCATCCTGTAATCTTAAATTTATAGGGCTAATACTTAGGTAACTATTGGAACAAGAACAGAAGAGATCCTAGATTCTCAGAAGTTCCATTAGTGGTACATTTGGCACAATTTTTGCTGCAATACAAACCTGCCAAAACCACATTATTTGCTTGCTTGTTCTGGTATAATGTCGGTAGATGGTATGCCTTTGCCAGTCAGTCAAGTCAATCTCTTGCATTCCACACAAAAGCACCTTTTTGAAGAGAAATAGTTGAACACCAGCTAGGTTAGTGAAACTCTGATGCCATGATACGTTGGTGTAAGAGATGATGGAGGAATCTCTTAGATACTCAAAGGGTTAATGAAGAGTTAGTATCTTTCTAGACATGGGGCATTTAGGAATTCATTTTCTAGCTCAGTTGTCCAAGTATTTAAACACAATTGTAGCATCCTTGTTTAAAAGAGCTTCATATTTACAGGGCGATGTGCCTGTGTTAAAACATGTTAAAATATACTTTGCCATGTTAAGGTGATTGTCTACCCTTGTATTAGGCTGTGTGATGCCCTCCAGGTGCTATGAAACTACCCTGACCAGAGTCAATGTTGGCTGGAGCCAATGAAGGTTGTAGTCCACAACATCTGGCTACTCCAGGTTAACTAAACTGCAACGTCTTTATTATAACTTTGCTATGACTCATGTCATAAAAGTGCACCGCATTTATAAGTCCCTGCAAATATGCTAACCATTTCTCAACTAAGCCTTATGCCCAAAGGATTAGACATACCTCAAGCTCTTTTGCATCAAAGTACTGCAAGTACTGCTGTGGTAAGATCTCATTGAAACCTTCAAAGAAAGCTTGTGTCTGCTCTTCAACACCCCGGGAAAGTCTCCACTCTGCCACTAGCCTGGAGAATGAAAACACACAGTTACTCCAAACAGGCCCAACCAAGTCTGAAAATGTTGATTTTTGATGAGCAACAATATTAATTAAATTGTAGTAAGTATTATAGTAGACAGACATTGAATTTGCAGTGGAAGGTCCACCTCCATGGCAGAATTACAACACTGTGCCATGCGACACAGGCAGAGGTTACTGCTTAAGATTATAGCACACCAATCATAATAATTTCCTATGCATGAATATGCTCACACTGTATTTCAGGCAAGACTAGCTTTGATGTAGCATTTTGACTATTTTACTGATAAGCCCACATCTATTTTACATGTGGGCCTTCATGAAGAGGTTCGATAATACTTCCAAAACATTAAAAAGGGAAAGTTTATAGAATTAAAAAACAAATGGTTAAAAGATAAAATAAACTTGCAAACCAACTTTGAACTTACTTAATGTATTCCTCTTTATTTTCCTCAGTAACCAGGATGTTGCTGCCATTGGGTTTCAAATCATGGCTCTTTATTTCACCTAGAATTTCCTTATCAACTGAGAAATACATCTCCAGGCCACATTCCTCAATATTGTTTTCCCTACAAAACAAATACCATATATATTAACTACTATTTTCATGAAGTGCAATCATTAAACAAGTTGATGTCACAAGCCGAAAATTCCTTTTGTTCATCAACAAATGGAGAGGGAGACATATTCTACAATGAGATTTTCAAAAATTTGTAAGGAGAAAAGGTTTTCTGAATTTTGATGTTGAATGTTCATATATATTTTCTGTATATCAAAAAGTTCGGTATCTATACTAGCTATCCAGTAATAATTTACAGTACCTCAGAATTGGCACGCAATAATATTTAACAGGTACATACTTTACATTTCATATCAAGTATTTTATAATTACTACTTCCCATTTTTAAAAAAACAAATGGTCAAAGCAGTTTACAATCCAAACAAAATATTACAAAAAGATTTAAGGCATGGCAAAATAAGGAATGTCAATATTCACTTCAGTTTTGAGGCAAATGTTCTTATTTTTAAAAATCAGACTTGAACAGTAAAACTGACTTTTAAAACAAACTGCAAATATGATTTTTAACACTAATCCATACATATCAAATCACAGCACTCACTGATTTTCAAATGTGCATACATAGACACACACAAAGTCACACATTTTAACATCTACAACATTTCAAGAATTGAGAAGCTGACTTCAGAAACTCACTTTACCCAGATGAGTGAGTTGTAAAACTCAGGATCTACAGATTCTAAATCCTTTAGTCCTACTGGCTTGTTGAGGATACGTTTGTAGAATGGTAGAGAAAAACCCGTGTCTATAAATTTCACATGGAATAAAGCCTGCAAAAGATGGAAACTATTAATCATTTGTTTTATAGGAATCCTTGTCTAGTCAATCTCATAACCAGCAAACAGGTGCCTGCAGCCTAGATTTTGGAAGAAACAATGAATTAAAGGCCATCTTCAAGTCACTCAAAAACCAGTAACTATTTCCTTAGGTGGATGTGCTGTGTTGATGGTTACTGGTGACAAGAGAAAGGGGAAGCACAGAAAACATGTGAGGTATAATCCCTCCCTGTGTGAAATAGGCTATAATTCCCCATGATACAGATTATGGGTGGGATTCACCTAATGAATCCCATCTGTGGAACCCTTGTGCAAGGATTTCCGCTTGCACAAGAGGGCTCTCCCCCCTCCACTCAGGCAGAATTTTCAGGTGGTGCTTTTACCGGAAAATTGCTATAAGATACTATATATTTTGGAGCTGTAGGTTAATATGGATGATATCCAGCAAAGCCACACTCAACAGTATAGCCACTGAAATCAATGGATTCAAGTCATTATTTATTATACTCGGGTGGCCTATAACCCGTACTTCATTAAAACCAGCCCTAGAGTAGGGTGCAACTTTAAAATACACAATTCATAATAAAACAATTTGAAAAAATCAAATAATAATAAACCAAATTTACAGCACAGCACAAGCATGACCAAGCATGTATTTATTGTCACAAGCATTAAGGAAAAGAAACAGAATTGAGCACCTGGTATGTTTAAAAATACACTAGAGTGTAAGAGTGCAATGCACTGCACTGCACTGCAAACAACATTGTAATCCCTCTTGTCAAGAGTGGGTTTTTTCAGCCTAGGTTCCCCTGGCCCCACATGCGGACTTAAGAGTTTCTGCTACACTTTAAGAAAAAAATAATTCCTCATTCTACCAGGAAAATTTCAGCTTGTCCTTACTATGTTCCCACAAACTCCCCTATTTATTATTTTGTGCTCTGAACTCACCATGGCAATAAATCTGCCAATAAAGTGGAAGTATTTCAGGTGGTCTGGATTGATGTAAGAAGCTGGATTTATCTGTAGGCAGTAGTTATCCTTTCCTGCATATTCAAACAGGCAATACATTGGGTTCAGCACTTCATGCGACAACAGAAAGAACCATTCCCTGAAACCACATAAAGAACTCACAGTCAACACCACAAGAACCAAGTATTAGATTTAGACATTGTGTACAGATTCCATAGTGCTAATTTAACCTCCAAAGCTAACATATAACTATTGGGGCAATCTATTATGTTCAGCCTGCCCAGAGCTAGTTGAAATGAGCATATCAAGTGCTTCGATAGGACACCAAAAGTAGTTCTCAGTTATAGAAATTCCGGTGCTTCTAAAAAGACTAGGATTACTCAAGGTTCAGATGCAGATAATTAGCAATTTATTTCTGCTGGCTTCAGCTCCTACATGCGCTCCTGTTTGAGGCTTGTCATTTTTCTTTTGCATGTGGAAACTCAGGGTTCTATTTATAAACAGGCCAACACTATTCTTGCAATGCCCATGTACATCTCTTAAACAATGTCACAATATTGAGTGAAATTAATTATGTCCAAGATGCAGCCCTGTGACTTCTGATGTAGAATCAGATGTTCGGTTTATAAATACTGATGCTGACTTTACATTTTTTTTAAGCTGAGGAGTGTATTGACTGATATGCTGGGATATTTGGCATTAGAATAGACACTTACAATCAGTATAGCCAGAGTAGATAAAATCATTTTAAAGATAGTTATATGTATAATGGACTGACCCAGCACTAAAGGTATGGTTATTTTGAGTGCCACAAAAAACACAAAACTAGGAATCAATTTTAGTGGTTATCAAACTTTTTTGCTGCATCAGCTAAAGAACCAAGTATTGTGAGTCTAGCCCAACTCAGCTGATACAAATCTTACCAGGACACGTGAATATGTAAGTCAGGGGTAGGGAACTGGATTCAGCCCAAAGGCCAGAACCTGACCGCCCCGCAAAGGCCACTTTGACAGCTGGGTGGTGCCACCCACTTGTCAAAATCGGTGACAACTTCAAAGGGGCCTACTGTTGGCAGTGGCCAGCTAATAGGTGCCAACAGCAAACCTTGCTTTGTCCATCTGTAGGCACTGATTGGACTCAAACTGTGCCTGTAAAGGAGACAATTTCCCTCTGCAGACCAGCGAAGTCTGCTGAAGGAAAATGCCCATTTGCAGGCATGTTTTGCCAAGGAACAATTGAGAGCACATTTCAAGCTCCTTATTGTTCCCTTGCAGCCATGTGATGTCATGCGTGGGGTGAATAGGAATGGTTTGCAGTCAAATTAGGAATGCTAATTAGGTCCACAGGGTGATGCTTTCTCACTAATGATATTAATGTTATCCATGATACTAGAGCCCAAATTTGTTTATTGAAAAGTTGTGTATATAACACACACACAGCTTTAAATCTGCAAATTTCCCTTTTCCAGATTCTGACAAGTTAAACCCCAAATTAGATAGAACTTTCCAAAGAAAAGGGTCAGTTTTTTAAAAATGTAACCCCCTCAGAGTTGTCTAAAAAGCTTTCCTACCAAACAATTTCAAGTGCCTATGGTTCTATTTGTTTTACATAGTAAGACATCCCTACCGTGCAACACCTCCATAATCTAATCCTTCTTCTCCAGGGAAAATGACCCACAAACGTCTTCGTAGGTCCGCAGGGCTGAGGCTCATTATCTTAGTGGAAGAAGTATTAGAAGATTAACATTCTAATAATTCACACAGTCATGTACATTAAAATGGACACTGGTATATGGTGGTTTTGCTGTTTTACTCATTTATTCTGGATCAGCAGATCCATGAAACATTTAACAGGCCATTTAGAGAGGAAGGTTGACACTGAACAGATTAGAGAGGGCTGAAATATAGTTCAGATCAAATACACATACCCCACACATTTTACAATGCTTTAAGTACTGAAGCACAGCTCAATTACCTGCTGAAATGAATCTTCAAACAATGTTTTTCTGCTCACTGTGATTTTAATGTGCTGGGGCAGGGCCAATTGCTAAAATGTAAGAAACAGATTTGAAAAACAAGCCAACTACATAATAGGACAATAGATGATAAAGTATATGAAAATACTGAATTCAAGAAACCCTGGTTGCACATATGGGAACTGGTTTGCATATACAGTATAGTATTTACACATATGGAAGTGTGCCAGATGCAGCTGTGTATGGTTAAAAAAAGAATCCTAAAATATCCCTTCCACATGTGCACATCAGCTATGAATCTGAATGCAGGCAGGTCATTATCTAACACATAGGGCAGATCCACCATGAATGAATGCAATAGATTGATGTGTTTCCATCTGTACCAGGTGTGGGGAACCTGTGGCCCTCTAGATGCTGCTTGACTACAATCCCCATCATCCTTGACCATTGGCCATGCTGGCTGGGGCTGATGGGAGTGGTAGACCTACAATATCCAGAGGACCAAAGGTTCCCCACCCGTTTTACAGAGATAGGTGAAACTGTGAATTATTTTCCCATGTGTGGTACTAGCTGCTTACAATGTATTAGTGCATACACATATCCTTGAAAAGGGGCCATTGACACCATTGCTAGATATTGCCAGTAAAATAGTTGTTGTATGTGGATGGTATTCCCATTGAGATGGTATTCTCATTGATGTTCATGAATAATTCCAAATATACACGGTGAAAATAGAAACTCTGTAAACTTTATTTTGTAAAACAACTCCAATTCAAACTTATGCTGAGAGTAGCTTACTCCTTTGTGCATTCATCTAGTTTACTAATGCTTTCACCTGACAAAGTTTAATTATTTAATGACTGCCCTGTGGCCAAAAACTTCCAAGGATGTTTTTGAGTTTGCATGTAAGACAAACTCTAAGATAATGCTTTTACCTGATGGCAAATTATCAGTTATTCTCATTAATATTCATTTGTTAATGTAGAGGACAGTGCAGTGGAAGATTCTGAGTATCCTCTCTCTCCACTCTTCTTTGGGGTGTCCAACAGAGTTACTACTACCACAATTTCACCAAGCCTCATGAAATCCCACAGGGCATGGGGGTTTGTGGAAATGGCAGCTCTTTTAGAAACATACATACTATGTAACACAGATTATGACAATGGACTCACTAGAGACTTGCAGTAAAACTCTTTCCCCAAAATAAAACATAACTTACCTGACACCAAAACCGGAAGTATTGGACCTTTGCTTTGAAATCACGAACATATGCTATCTGGGGTCCATTATCTCTGAAAACAGAAGTAAAAAAATCACTGGAATACAGTTGTGCAATTGTCATCCATTTCAGTTCCTTGCCTAGTTAACTGATTCACAAAAGGAAGGTTTGCTTTGTGGAAGCACATATAGCTAAAATATAGCTAGGTAAATTATTCCTTAGGAATAAAATCATCTCCCTTCTTCCCCTTACTCAGTGGCATGCTACTAGTACACCAAGGAGTTGTAATTTTCCATGGGCCTCTGTAGCCTTTCCTCCTAGCATGGTAGCAGCCCATTAGGGAAGGATGCAAGAGATTGATCCTATTTTCCCCTCTTCTCTTACCTCAACCTGACTGCTACTGCCTCTCCCACTTTCACCATTCCACTAAGTAAAGGTAAAGGTAAAGGTACCCCTGCCCGTACGGGCCAGTCGTGTCCGACTCTAGGGTTGTGCACCCATCTCACTTAAGAGGCTGGGGGCCAGCGCTGTCCGGAGACACTTCCGGGTCATGTGGCCAGCGTGACGAAGCTGCTCTGGCGAGCCAGCACCAGCGCAGCACACGGAAACACCATTTACCTTCCCGCTATAAAGCGGTACCTATTTATCTACTTGCACTTGGGGGTGCTTTCGAACTGCTAGGTGGGCAGGAGCTGGGACCGAAAGACGGGAGCTCACCCCGCCGCGGGGATTCGAACGCCGATCCATGCGATCGGCAAGTCCTAGGCACTGAGGTTTTACCCACAGCGCCACCCGCGTCCCGCATTCCACTAAGTAGGTGTGATTAAAAGGGAAGGGTGGAGGGGGATAGAGGGAGCTAGATGAGTGAAGAGTAAACTGGGAATTCTCTGATTTGAAATTTAATCTTTGAGGTCTTTGAAGCAAAACTGATAAAACGCTGAAGCGCAGGTTAAATAAGTACTAAAGGAAAAATTTATGTATATTATTTTATAAATAATGTAAGTATTTAACATTTAATAGCACATAAAAAAAACCTTAGGTGAGTTGTTGAACATACTCTGCTAACATTTTAAGAACAGGGTCATTTGTTTTCACCACCAAAGGTAACCAAGTTTAATCGTACGGCAATCCAGCAGTGTGTGTAACAGATGCCAATAGTAGAAAGGAAGTAGCAGTAATACAAAATTGTAGTAAGAAAGCTTACAGAGCCGATTTCCCAGTACGAGGATCGATATAGGTAGTTGTTCTTCTATTGTGATCCACAAAATATGGAATTCCATCTACAGTGAATCTCATCTCCCAGCCCTCTGGCAAAGGTTTCTCATTTAATTGACTGCAGAAACAAGATATACACAACACATAAATCTCATTATACATATTTTTCACACATAGTAAATAAAAGGTACTGTTCCATTTTTATTCCAGGTATTTTATTTAGCTTTATTAGACCCAAGATAGTAAATCGAACTCTTAATTATACTGAGCTCTAAGGAATGCACAGCTAACACCACAAATCCAAAATGGAAAACAGTTTGTCAAGAAGTTAAATGCCTATCCCCATCTCAAAAGGGAGCATGTGTTATTACAATTAATCACATGGAATCAGAATAGGGAAGAAAAACTAAACATTACACCAGACAGCCTAGTAAGAGAAGACTCAGAAATACTTTATATCCTGCTCACAGAATGTAGGTTGATGTGTGGGTTACACCGTTTGCTTGTTACCTAGGACTCAGCTATACTCGTCAATTATATCGTTATAACTGCTTTATAAACACCAGATGGCGCAGTAGAGTTTGATCTTTCACCAATGTGATTTTCCATTATGAGCTTTATAACACGTTTTCCTGTAACTTTTTTTTATGTGTCTAGATCCTGCCTTAGTTATCTGTTGGTCACAAAAGAACTCAGGGAGCTTCATGGGGGTGTATCCTTCATTTCCCCTCTCTGCTAATGTTATCTAAATGTGTTCTTCTTCTTTGGCCATCACTCGTAGCCAAGTAAGATTGTCTTCCATAAACACGGTTTTAACAATGAGTCCGTAAGTGACTGTGGAGGCCAATTCTGGATCCACATGTCCTTTCACAGTGGGGACATTGGTTTCCGGGCAGGAGTTGATCACGGTGTGGATTTGCCAAGCGTGCCTTCCTCTTAGCACGTTTCTCCCTTGTGTCCTGAGTTTGAGTGTCTTCAAAGCCCATGACACCTTTTGTAAAGGCTGTTCTCCAACTGGAGCGCTCGCAGGCCAGTGTTTCCCAGTTGTTAGTGTTTATACTACTATTTTTTAGATTTGCCTTAAGACAGTCTTTAAATGTCTTTGGTTGACCACCAGCATTACGCTTTACATTTTTAAGTTTGGAATAGAGTAGTTGCTTTGGAAGACGATCATCAGGCATCCACACAACATGACCAGTCCAACGAAGTTGATGTTGACATTATTACATGTAAGAGGTGTATAAACAGGTCATTTTCCAGTGTATTCAGAGTGTTTAAGTGTTTGGGGAGAAATCCTCACAGGATTACAGAAGTGCAGGGCTGGGATACACCTGAAGATTATTTAGCAGAATGCCTGTTTTTAAGGCCTCAAATGTGTATTACTTTCTAATCCTTCTCAGGGATATTCTAGAGGGTATCTACTATGCCTTTAAAATATTAAGCTATTTTTCCATTCCTCCTTTTTTGAAGAATTCTAGCAAGATATGAAATAAGGAACAGGAGTAGAATGCTTATTGAAAACAAGTCTCCGCAAGACTCTGGCTGACATCCAAGGAGGCAAAGTTCTTCCATGTGTGCAAGGCGGATTTCTGACTTTCTATTGCAGCAATGAGCACCTGTGCCTTTGGGAATGCAGCTTCAGAGGGTTCTTTGTGCAGCAGAAAGGGGGTGCTAAGAACACCTGCATCCAGGCAGATGACGACTCATGACCTTTGAGATCTCCGCCTTTGATCATGTTATTAGGTTAGCCAATAAAAGAATGGCAAAATGAGTCAAAAGTTGTATAATATGCTGAGTCGCCAGCAAGTAATTTGTAACACTGCACTAGAGGCAATACGTTCTTTTTCCCACCAACTCACTAAGACTGGTTATGAAATAAATAACAGGATATGATATCAAATAAAATAAATAATATTGAGTACAAGAAATGTTTTTATTGTGTGTTGGATGCAAATATGAGGATTTCCTTTTTTATTCTTCTAGTAATAATTTTCTTATGTTTTGTTTCAACAAGAAAAATTCCTCTTAAGAAGCCACTTCTTCATATCTGCTACTTTCCCCTTATGTTCTCAATACACTTTTTAAAAAAATCAATCAATCTCCTTTATTGGCATAGAAAAAGTGCATCATATACAGTGGTGCCCCGCAAGACGAACGCCTCGCAAGACGGAAAACCCGCTAGACGAAAGGGTTTTCCGTCGCGGAGGCGCTTCGCAAAACGAATTTCCCTATGGGCTTCCTTCGCAAGACGAAAGCCCATAGGGAAATCTCCGGGACAGCGGGGAAGCGCAGCGCCTCTTCCCCACTGTCCTCGGACCTCCTCCCGCCGCCAGGCTTCGGAAGGCTGCTCCGAAGCCTGGCGGGGGGGCGGAGAGGTTTTTTAAAAACCCCGGGACAGCGGGGGACTTCTCCGCGTTTCTCCGCTGTCCCGGAGGGCTTTTGAAGGCAGGCGGGGGGAGCAAAGACTTTCGCCCCCCGCCCGCCTTCAGAAGAGGTCCTGGATCTCTTCTGAAGGCAGGCGGGGGCAAAAGGCTTTGCTCTCCCTTGCCTGCCTTCCCGGGAGAGCGGAGAAACGCGCTGCGTTTCTCCGCTGTCCCCGACGGCTTTTGAAGGCAGGCGGGGGGGAGCAAAGACTTTCGCCCCCCGCCTGCCTTCAGAAGAGGTCCTGCCTTTCTCCGCTCTCCCGGGAAGGCAGGCAGGGGGGAGCAAACACTTTTGCCCCCCGCCGGCCTTCAGAAGAGGTCCAGGACCTTTGTCCCCCCTGCCTGCCTTCCCGGGGGCTTTTAAATCGCCCCGGGACAGCGGAGAAGTCCTCCGCTGTCCCGGGGTTTTTTAAAATGCTGGGGGTGGGAAGAAAAGCCCTTCGTCCCCCCCCAGCCTTCAGAAGAGGTCAGGGGGCAGACTGTCCCCGGACCTGGTCTGAATTCGGTTTCCCTAGGAACGCATTAATTGATTTTCAATGCATTCCTATGGGAAACCGTGCTTCGCAAGACGAAAAACTCGCAAGAAGAAAAAACTTGCGGAACGAATTAATTTCGTCTTGCGAGGCACCACTGTACATGGATCAGAACACAACACAACACAGTTAATGGAACATAGTAGGAAATACTTTAGGATAAAACTGTCCAGACATTGCAAGTTATGAAAATGGCTTTTAGGACCTACGGTGACATAATTTTATGGAATACACTTTTGATAAGCAACATGCTTTAGTAGTCTAAAATCTAGCCTTATTTCAGTTTAGATCCATTTTAACCTAGCTTCGAGACTGGTTTGGGCACTGAAACAGCCCCGGCAGCTCTGACTGATAACCTGTATGGAGAAAGAAACATGGGGAGTGCATGGTGGTGCTCCTGGAGTGGTTCTGTGAGTTGGAGGCACTGCTCCTATCTGCGGGACCACCACCAGAGTAGCAGCAAGGGCAGACTGCTGCTTTTGGCATTTGTGCTGTGAGGTCCTGTGGGGTTCCATTCTGTACCCCACACTTTTTAACATCTATGTAAAGCTGCTAGGAAGTGTCATCTGGAGATTTGGAGAACAGCATACCTAGTATGCAGATAATATCCAGCTCTCGCTCTCTCCATACCACTTTACTAGTGTCTGGAGGTGATAATGGGCTGATTCAATCCAAACTTAGATTGAATCTGGACATGATGCAGGTGTTGATAGTTCTTATATTCAGGAATTGAGGCAACCTGTGTCAGTTGGGACCACACTCCTCCTGAAGGACAAGGTGTGTAGCCTGGGGGTGCTCCTGGAACCAACACTTTCAACTGGAAGCTCAGGTGGCTCCAGGGGCAAGAAGTGCCTATTTCCAGCTAGGGCTGGTTCACCAGCTATAGTCCTTCCTGAACCAAGATACCATAGCATGGACCACTATGGCTAGGATGACCTCCCATTTAGCACTACTGCAATGAGTTCTAAATGAGAAGCTGGAGCTAGTGACAATGCAGCCATCAGCTGAGTGGCACTGTAAGGTGAGACCATATCTCAACAAATCTTAAGAACTGCACTGGCTGCCTATTCGCTGATGGGCCCAACTTAAGGTTTTGATTCTGGTATATCAAATCCTATATAGCCTAGGCCCCAAGTACTTGATGAAGAACTTTTGCCAATATAGCTCACTCTTAGAATTAAAATCTGCAGAGCAGGTCCTATTCATGATCCCACCTATGCCTGTGGTACATTATGCAGGAACCTGGGATATGGCCTTCTCTGCTATGACACCTTCATTTTGGAACACCCTCCCATTAGTAATACAGTTGTCCCCCTCAATTAACAGCTTGTTGTAGTCAGGTAAAAACAGTTTTGGTTTTAATATATCTTGAGCTACGTATTTATTATTTGCTGGGGAATCTCTCTGGGATGAAGGAAAGTTTAGAACTAATAGTAAACCCAAATGTTGCCTATGTTTGTTTGATTTTGGATTATGTTCTGAAGACTATTAAGAGAAGAGAAAAATCTTACCCTTGGCTTCTGGGATCTTCCCACTGTGTGATGCGTGTATTGTGATTGACAAAATATACTCTGCCATTGGCGTCTGTTCTCTTTTCTGAGGGAATATAAATTAGGACCATTTTAGTTATCATGGACATATAGTTTTAATTTTAAGATAATGGCAGTGAATTATATATGTCAGGACCTATTGGGAATATCTCACTTCTTTCTCCCCTCTGCAGAACTCTCTGTCAACAAAGCCTCTTAAAGGTTGGGGGCCCTCATGAAAGACTTGGGATGTAGAACAGTGGGAACAGGAATCTGGCAGAGGCAGCTTGCCTAAGCGTGATCTTTTCTGTAGGGACACAAGGGGAAGCAGAGGGCAGGAGGGCAAGGAGAACTTCACTTTGTGCAAGCACTTATTTAGATAGAACCCCATGTGTTTGGCAGTTCTGCTCCCCCCTTTGACTTGAATTGTGCTCAAATGCCCAGTCTGGAAACTTAGCATTTCATACCAGCTGTTTGAACATATCATCCAACTAATGAATACATTGTGTTCCATCATCTTAACTTCCTAAGTTCATGAAACCTCAGTGGAACAGCACTTTATATCCAAGTCAAGGACATCTCCTTCATGGAGAACCTTGCACAGGTCAATAGTATAGATAGCAATACAGATGATTGGTTGTGAGAGTAGGGCTCAGATTCCTGTCCTAGATGAAACACCATTACTTATGATTCTGCTACTAAACTAATAGAGGTCCCTAGAATTGCATACCAACTCAATGAAAAGAGACCATAATATGTATGAAATATAGGTCTTCACTCCTTAAGGCACACTCTTCCATTGCCTCCTGAAGCAGATGGATGCCAACCAATGGGTCTTTAAGCTTCTCAGATGAGCTGTGCTACATATTACACTATTCCTCTTGCGATATGAACACAATTTATCTACAAAGACTGCCCAACACCTACTGAGATTTGCAGTCTTGCTGGCTGGAGAGCTCTGAATTTGAAGTGACATTATTGTGATCCCCAAGTAAACTCTACTACTTTTATCAGGTTTCTGGAGTCATCAGAGTGCAATAAATGCACTCATGATGGCAGAGTAATAGCTAGACTCAGTGTTGGCCTGGACCACTATATAAGTGATGTTGAGAACCAGAACTTTTAAAGACCTTACCCCATCCATGTGGCAGGGGACCAAGAGGATCAAATTCTTTGTTCTGTGTGAAGTCTTGATTCTGCAATCACAAGAAAGCATACTGTAAACTACTAACTGAAAAATCATATACATTATACTTTTTATTTTTTATAAGACCTTTCTACCTTTTTGTAATGAAGGTAAAATAACCTAACAAGATAGTCCCTGGACCTATTTGTTTTAACTTTGGCAAGTTTCTTACCCATCGGTACCTCTCTCACTTTTCCAAACAAATGCCCACAAAAACTAGGAAAGGAATAGGATTTTACCATCCCAAAATGGTAATATGTCTGTCCTTGTAGGACAACCACTGCATCCACCTTTCTGGAATCTGACAGACTTCCGCTCCTCAGTAGAGGCAACCTACTTTCATCCAATTCTGCAGAAAATAAAAATACCAAGCCAGAGACCTGATAATATGGTTTCCAAGGATGGCATCCTGTGAAGTTCAATCAAAATATGCTCTCACTATGCCTTGAACAAAACTTGCCAGTAACTCTGTGCTTGCCTACAGCTGCTTGATTTAACATGACAGTGTTTGCTTGCAAATGGTGAAGTAAGAAGCCATAGGCAAAATATATCTGATTTGTAACCCTCTAGGATCAATTTAATTGATTGAAAATTAATTAAGGGCAGGGGTACCTTTACCTTTACCTTTAGGATCAATTTAAACTACAACTAAATCTGACAAACAGCTTATACTTTGTATACTAAAGAAATTTCCATTGAAATGTTTGGAGGGAAATGAGTAACTTCCATGTGTAGCAATCAATCACCCAAAAGGGACCCCTGACCATTAGGTCCAGTCGTGACCGACTCTGGGGTTGTGGAACTCATCTCGCTTTATTGGCCGAGGGAGCCGGCGTACAGCTTCCGGGTCATGTGGCCAGCATGACTAAGCCGCTTCTGGCGAACCAGAGCAGCGCATGGAAACACCGTTTACCTTCCCACCGGAGTGGTACCTATTTATCTACTTGCACTTTGACGTGCTTTCGAACTGCTAGGTTGGCAGGAGCAGGGACCGAGCAATGGGAGCTCACCCCGTCGCGGGGATTCGAACCACCGACCTTCTGATCGGCAAGTCCTAGGCTCTGTGGTTTAACCCACAGCGCCTCCCGTGTCCCTCTGTGAAGTATCAGTGATTACTTATTAGGAATTTTAGGCTGAGGATAGAGCAAGTGCTGTTGAGTTAATCTGCATTAGCTGATGTTATGCCAATATGAATTCCAGCCCAATCCTCAGCGTTCTCACCCCATATATAAACCTCTGGTTAAATTGTTGCATAGCTCCTTGAAGCTGGCTGCGCTGAAGTTGCCACTGTTCATAATTCCGGACAGATTCCAAAGTTGGCCGCTGCCAGGTTGTTGTTCTGGTGAAATGGTCAACATAGTAAATCCGGCCCATGTTGTCAACTCGACGTTCCCAGCTAAAGAACACAGATGATATAATCAAATGAATGCACTGACTTCACAGTAGGCTACAGTCTGACAGAATGGAATACAGGAGTACTTGTTCAACATAATAGGACAAAGCGGGTCAGCACAATAATTCCTCAGTTTTGCTTTATGTTACCTTATTACTCAATTCCAAGGGGTTTATCATTTGATTAAAGGTTCTGCACTTTGCTCTGAACTTCCTAATTTGAGGTAGCAATATCTATTTATCGGCCCGCCATTTTTTTTGAAACCTCTAGAAGTGTGCTACAAGTCCAAAGGATGAGAAAATACCACTTTCATATTCAACAACATTATGATGCAAACCCCAAACACATCCAATTTCTTTGGCTGGTTTTGATTCTCCTCTACTGAAACAGTGAGCAGCATAGCAGGCTTAAATATACCATATCCATGCCTAGAGGCACTTCAGTTCCTGTCAAGGAATGCCACAGATTTTGGAGGTTTGTGCCACCGTTCGCCTCCCATGGCCTAATATAACTGACATTTCTACAGCCAGTCTTAAGATTCAACATACACAGAATAAAATGCAAATTAGACCCATTTTCTTTTCACAGAACCTTGATTTAGCTATCCAGCAGTGCAATATTTTAACTGGACCAAAGCTGGACATAAAGATGGCAAGCTTGGAATGACATCTTCAAGCATGTTATCAAGTACAGTTTGACAGATCACCAAATGACTCACCCTGGGGGAAGAGGTTCTGGCCTATCCCATGTAGTTCTTTTTTCAACATGATCTACATAATATACTCGGCCATGTTGATCCACTCGTTGTTCCCAGCTGGAAATAACACAAATAATTCATATGTACTATTGTGCCAACCTATTCACCTTGTTGCTTTCTCATAGTTCTTATTTCCAAATGGTCTCCTGATCTGTTTTGTATACAGTAAGCCTGCCACTTATGCAGGGGTTACGTTCCAGAGACTGCGTCTAAAATCACATATAGTCAAAATGCCAAAGTCATTTTTCCTTGAACCCCACCCCCTTCCCATTCCTTTTAATTTTTACTTTGCCATGCATGTAAGTTGCAGGCTTACTGTATAGGACTAAATCTTCTTGTGACAATTAATAAAATGACATTTTCAAACACATTTGTTTCTATACAAGACCAAGACCCAGGTTTAATTTTACATTTGTATTTATGACACTAGTACCATATAACTCTTGAGGGACATTCTGTGATTCCTTCCCTTGGACACATTTTATAGGAATAGGATTTATTGGTCATCTTTATAGTGTTCTCCTCCTTTCTCAAAGTTGCAGAGAGTAGCATACATGGGAATTATCTGTTGTGATCTTATATGAATCTTGTAAACTATGTTAGGCTGACAGAAGTCTGCTCCAAAGTCAACAAGTTAGGATCTGAACCCCCATCCCTATGGTTGAGGTCTGACAATTCCCATCTCACAAGGTGTGGATGAAGGGTAGGCCACAATCCACCAGTGGATCAGTAGTTCTTTTCTTAGTGCCTGTTTACTTACAGACTTCCTATGGATATCTAGCTAGCCATCGTGGAAGAAAGCACACTGAACTAAATGAATCTTGACCTAATCCAGAAAGGCAAAACTTCTATTTTTCAGGAAGAGTGCATACTTTTAAACTGCTATGGCATGACTAACATTACTGGAGATTCTGAATATGTACTCTTGCTTTAGAAATTTAGTGAACCACAGAGCTTCTTTAAAACATACTCCATGAAAACATATTCAACTCCACCCTGTACCATATCACACTGACTTAAGATCAAAAAAATGTAAGACATTTAGATTCCAAACCCACTAAGCAACAGCAGCCACATTGGCCCACTGTGACTACATGCTATCACATATATTGCACACATAGAATTGTACCCATTTCTCACTATACATATTCAAACTGCAGCCATTCAACTGTATTTATAAATATACTGGCTTTCTTGTATTGGTACTCAACTATGGAAGTTTTGAAATTCTGATCATCATCGTATTTGGGCACATACAATAGTTTTTTTAAGTGCTTTGCAGAGAATAGACATGGTGGAAAAAAAGGCTTCTAAAACTTATTATTGGGGTGTGTCATTTATCAGATCTTATGGAATTATGTGCTCGTGCCAGATTACCTTTTACCACTGTACTGTGGGGTAGTCCGCCACAATATAAACAAATGTATCTTTTTCCATAAGCCAAGTGCTGAACTTAGTAGTTCTTAGATAGGGAGACAGACAAAAGGATCTTATGCTCTAATATTCATTTTTGCCTTTGCTCACTTCTTCAAGCAACAAAAATTGCTGAGAAGACTGAAAAGTATGATCATTATCTTTGATACTTGCCTTTCTTATCTCATATTACTGCTCTAGATAAAGTCTGTTGATTGTCTCTCTGTATTAGCTTGGATTTCAAGAACTGTGAAGAGTTCTACTTGCAGGAATAGGGCTTCCCTGCCTCTTCCTTCCTGAAAAGATATTCCTGGTGGTCTGCAGACTCTACAGAATGCAAAGGTGTATGGCACAAGGAGCTGCAGTGAGTGAATTCATGAAAATTAGAACAAAAAGTTCCACTCATTGTGCTGTTTCTCATCTCTGTGATTTCTCTCAACTCAGTTAATTCATGGTATCTTTCACTTTAATATTTAGCTGACCTCTCAGCTTTAAATAATTAAAAACTCACATCTTGTCTCAAGCATTTCCGTGTTGGTGTTCTATTTTTTCTAATTATTGCATAGGTTTTACTTTAACTCTTTTGTGGCTTTTTTTTAGTTCCACCCTGCAAATGCAATGTACTGTATAAAGCATAGTATATTTTGGTGCTTTTAGAAATCAAATGGATGAGACGGAGGAAACTTTTATCTTGCAGGAAAATTAGTGTTAGAGATGTATGTATAACATAAAACCTAAGAGCATCAAACTCTTACCCAGGTGGAAGAGGACCTTGACTAACTGTGTGATGTGGCTGTGAAGCTGGAGTTACTGGCTGAACTTGTCTGGATATTGGTGGTGTGGCCAAAGCAGCTGCTGCAGGAGCACCGGTTACTGCTGTTGCTCCCTCTGAGTTTTGTTCCGATGCTGAACTTGTAGTTGGCACCAATCCTGCACTAGCCCCTTCTGATTCTGTGGAGGAAGTACCATTGACACATGCTGCAAAGAACACAGGCAAGAAAAAGACAAATAATTATGTTTATTTTAATTCCAGTATTGTATATTTATTTATACTCCACCTGTCCCCCTGAAATGGACTCAAGACAGCAGTACAGCAAAGCAAGAACGATAAGCCCTCAAGTAACTACTTGGTACACAGCAGTTATTAAGTCCCCAGACTTCTAAGTAAAAGTAGTCAATGGCAGAAACCCTTTCAACAACCTTTCCACAAACCTATCAGAACTCAGTTCAACCCTAAATGGAAAAGCCTTCTTGAATTTTAGTTTGGCTCATTGTTCTATTTCATTTACAGGAAATCTGTACTCTGATTAAGAGAACACTATGAAAGAGATTCTTTTTGCAGCAGTTGCCTCTTTCTCTTGACCACAGAAAGCCTGAAATCCTTGAAAAGAAAATTCCAGGCTGCAACTTCAGTAGGCGTCACATAAAGCTACTTCAGTATTTTGTATGAAGAAAACTTCCATAATTTAACTATGAGACAATGTGTGTTCTCAGAATTACCATATGATGCACTTCTGAGCTGTATAGCTTTTCCTTTCAGCAGTTTAAGAATGCTTTGCTGAAGGTCAGACAGAAATATATCTGGCTTCACAAATGCTAAAGCATGCTTATTATGAATTAAGCCACAATTTTTTGGAGTGGGGACGCATGTGGCATTATCTTTTATTATATTAGACACAGCTTTAATACACTAGTGCAGTGGGCAGAATACATTGAACAAACATAATTCAAACAAACACTGCATTCAAGAGCTTTTAAAGTGATACTTTTCTCTTGCAGACATACCAGGTGGAGCAGAGGGTCTACGTGGAGTAGGTGGAGGTGGCCGAGATGGTCTAGGCGGTCTAGCAGGCTTACAACCGCCATTTGCAATTAATGGAGAATCATTGCCATTAGATGCTCTGCTGTCACTGGACCCGGGAGACTCACAGCTTTCAGGACCATTTGTGTTGTTCCTTTATGAGAAAGCACAATACAAATTATCATGGAGACATGGAGATCTCACTGAATGTTAAAACTATTTTGAAAAAGAAGTTTCCTAATTGAAGTCTTGTCACAATTCATATAAACAAATTAGAATCTTATTCTTATAAAAGTTCAGAAACATAAATATGATCATAAATAGTGATGCCATCCAAACATATGCTCCTGGACCAGAAATATGAGTCACAGAGGCTCATAATGCTCACCTTAAAGATAAAACAAACACTGCAGCTTAATTAATTTTTCTCCAGTTTAGATTTTAGGCTACAAATTTTACAACAGCTTCCTAACTACGTACATTGGTATTTGTAACTGATACTGAAAATTTGATAGCAACTGTAAGGAGTTGATAGCTCTCAAATAAATAAAATAGGTAGGTAGGTTTCAAACAAACAAAAAAGCATCTGTAGGGTTATGGCTGAATTGTCATATACTCAAGCCAACTACTGACAATCATTTTATTTTCTATTATAAAAACTTCAAGTGGGAAAAATAACCTAAACCACAAGAAATGTGCCCCTTAGATATCAAACCTTCTATAAGAGTCAGAGAAATACAGGACATTTTATTCAAATATTTGCAAATCTGCAATTATTTGAAATGCCACCCTGATAAAAACTTCTGACTAGATGAAATAGCTTACCATTTGTAAAATAAATTATTTTTATTATTGTGGAAGGTTGACATTGTGAAAAGAGACCTAAGCATTTCAGGCATAATGAGCAAGAAAATGTTTAAAATGAACTGAGGCTGTCTCAGGCAACTGAGCCAAGTGTTAATGCTCTGAGTAGCTTGGACTCGGAACAAAAAACAAACCATCATTAACCATCACTTTAGTCATGATCATTACATCGTGACCAATTATAACCACAAAGAACTTTTGTAATAGCTAACAAAAACATCCATATTTAACTTTTCAACTGAAATGTACATTGTTTTGTGTATGTGTTAGGAGTTTGTTCCTTGATATATCCTGAACAAACGAAATGTATATTTTAATTAAAATGTGTTAAGAAAACACAATTGGAAGATTCTGATAATTCAAGGCAGTAAAAACTACACATAAAATTAACTACACCATTTATTTACAGGCTTATAGTCAGAATCTTCACAGTGTCAAGAGCCTAACATTAGCAGCAGCATTTTAGTTTAGCATAAACATGGCCATGATCCTGTTTGACATAGATTTCAAGTGGTACTAATAAACACTATTTTAAGTGGAATATATTCAGAATTCATCTTGCTGCTTCATGCTTTGAGGGAATTTTAAAATTATCAACTCAGGTATTATAAAATATTTTGTTACTTGCAGTTTACAAGAACTAAAAACTTTATACCACAAACAATGTGCTTTTCAGGGTGGAATAAAGGAATTGAGAGGATAAGACACAGAGGTATTTATCCTATTGCATACAATTAAGTTGGACTAATCGTGCAATGGGTCAGTGTGTCTGGCTGCTAACCAGAAGGTTGGTAGTTCGAGCCCATCCAGGCTGTGGAAAGGATTCCTGCATTGCAGGCCTCACCGTCTGACCACAACAGGGTCAGTATGGTGGGTAAGAGAGCTCCTTTTCCCTTGGAGAAGACATGAAAAGCTCTGAAGACCCTGTGAAGACCTTGCCTGCCTCCAGAAGGGGAAGTCATCCCAAACAAGAATGTCATCCATCCCATCTTAAAAATATGCGTGCACCAACTCTTTTGCCTGAGTAAATGATTATTTATTGGTGAAGATCTGAAGAGAAACTGGATTTTGCTTTCATTTTCATCTTTTCTTTTGAAATGTGTGTCTATTATAACCAAGATTTTTACAAGCTAGACACTCTTACAATTACAGTGGTACCTTGATTCAGATAGGTAGCTGTGTTGGTCTGAGGCAGTCAAAATAAATAAATAAATTGTCCAGTAGTACCTTAAGGTAAAGGTACCCCTGCCCGTACGGGCCAGTCTTGACAGACTCTAGGGTTGTGCGCTCATCTCACTCTAGAGGCCGGGAGCCGGCGCCGTCCGAAGACACTTCCGGGTCACGTGGCCAGCGTGACGAAGCTGCTCTGGTGAGCCAGCACCAGCACAGCACACGGTATCTGAAGAAGTGTGCATGCACAAGAGAACTTATACCCAGAACATACTTAGTTGGTCTCTAAGGAGAATTTGGTTGCACTAGTTGGTCGCTACTGGAGAATTTTTTTATTTAGTGGTACCTTGGTTAACGAACTTAATCCATTCCGGAAGTCAGTTCTTAAACCAAAGCGTTCTTAAACCAAGGTGTGCTTTCCCATGGAACACACTCAACAGGAAGTGGAACATGTTCTGCTTCCAAGGCAAAGTTCACAAACTTCTTAATCCGAGTTGTTCATAAACTAAGCTGTTCTTAAACTAAGGTCACTGTACTAAAACTACTAAGGATGCTTGTACTGTATCCCCATGACCACTTCCAACCAGTTTCCAATACTCTGAAATATCTACAAAACTGCTAAATCTCAGCACTTTAAACATCACAACTATCAGCATTCCACAACTCCACTGCAGATGTGGAAAACCACCTTACCTTGTTTCATTTTTTGCCCTGGAGCCATCATTCTGCACAGGACCTTTAATATTAAAAATAAGGAAATGGAAACTTATTTTAATATTTGTGTTGTTTTATAAAGAGACATAATAAATATGCATGATTTTCACTATTGGTCAAAATATATGCCATTCGCCTTTTAATTATTGCAAGAGATCAGAGTTCCCACAACAGCCCCAATACAGAGTATGGATAAAGTTTTTTGTACTTTAGAGCTGGAGTGAGCAGAAGGTAGATTGGGAATTACTGGCTCTCTTGGTAATTTGCCTCCCACAGATAGACAACAAGCAGTTAAGCAAGAATAAACCTTGTCTGGATTGAGACAAACCATGATCCCTGCTTCAGACATAACACGAAGGTAAACTGTGGCTTAGCTCCAGGTAGTGTGGTAGGAGAAGCACCAGGGGAGCAGCAAAGCAGATGCAATTTTTACTGTGGCTACCAGTATGCGTGCTCATTCATGCTTAGCCATGATTTGGCCTAGTGTTATGTGCAAGCCAAGTCACTGTCTTCAGTACTCTCAAGCATGCATGTAAAGGTTTGTAACCTAAAGCACTTTGGCTTACAGTCCTTATCAGGGTTCAATGCATTCTTCAAGAAAAGCCAAAAGCTACCAACGATAACAAATGTTATTTAATATAAACAACTAGTTATATGATGCAACAGCAGTGTGCACACATAGAAGGTAAATATTACTCACTTCTTCTGCTTGAAGCATCACCATTACTCAGCAGCTCAGGATCTACCTGCATGCCATCTAAACAGACAGACAACTCTCCAATCCCGTCAGTTGATTCTTTGTCACCAATAAGCATCATATTCACCACCACTTGTTCAACTATTGAAAATATACCAAAAAAAAAAATGTTCTTAACTGCCTTGTATTTTTATTTCAGTGAACTGATTAAGGTTTATACAATTTCATGAAAAAGCTGAGGAAAGCTTTTAAGAAATGACCACAGTTCCATTTCATCTTACACATTCAGTGATCACTGCACATGGTGAGCCTCAGAAAACTTTACTAAATGGGGGTAATTCCCTTACTGAAAAATAGGATTCTAAAGCTTTCCTTGTTTTAAATTTGACATCCATGCTCAGCCCATGCAATCAAAGATTATAGTCCATATTCAACAGCTGCACTGAGCAGAATTCATCTAGAGCATTTGCTCTTGTGGGTAAAGCCCACAACAATTACCATGGAACAGGTATCATCATATTCTTAGCAATGAATTAATGTTATATGGTATATTGTTCTGATTTCCCTAAATGTCCCTAGCAGAATAATGTATAATTCTCATTTATTTTTATGTCATCCTCAGGTTGTGCCACCCTTCTCTCAATAATCAGCAGAAGCAAAACTCATCCATGAATATCTTTAACATCAAATAAAAGAGCCCTCATAACCGTACAATTAATAATAAGAGTTTAAGCATAGTTGCATATTCTCTGTGCCAGGCCTATTATTGTAGAACCCTATTCACAAAGGGGACCATATAAGTCAGAACCTAAACATGTTCCAAATGAACCAAATTTTAGTGGAGACTTTGTGGAATGATTTCTGGTTCTTAGGACCCTCTGGAAGACTACAGGGGTGGGCATCACACTTCTTAAGATCTTTCATATTAACATTTGCCTACACACACAACACACACACACACACACACACCAAAATTTATATCATTTCAAGTTGTGCTTTTGTATACCTACGTTTCATATTGTTTGCTTTGAGAGTCTCTTTAATTTCTAGAGTGGCGCTTCCCAATAAGACATCAGATTTCAATGTTTGGTGACTCCATACACGGAAGCACAGGTTGCTGACAGGTGAGACAATTCTAAAAAGAAGAAGCAAGAAATACTGTAATGCATACTCGCAAGTTCCATTTAAAAATACTTCTGAGTAACTTAGAATCATAGACTTATAGAACTGTAGAATTGCAAGGGACACCAAGGGTCATCTAATCTAACACCCTGCAATGATTTGAGCCCCATGTTGGGCAAAGATTCCTACACTGTAGGGCATGGGTAGGCAAACTATGGCCCGGAGGCCGGATCCGGCCCAACTACCTTCTAAAGCCGGCCCGCGGACAGCCCGGGAATCAGCGTGTTTTAACATGAGTAGAATGTGCCCTTTTATTTAAAATGCATCTCTGGGTTATTTGTGGGGCACAGGAATTCACTCATTCCCCCCCCCAATACAGTCTGGCCCCCCACAAGGTCTGAGGGACAGTGGACTGGCCCCCTGCTGAAAAAGTTTGCTGATCCCTGCTGTAGGGGGTGGGACTAGATGACCCTTCATGGTCCCTTCCAACAGAATCTCAACTACTGTAGATTATACATGACAGATGGCTGCCTAACCTCTGCTTAAAATCTCCAAGGCGGAAGAGTCCACCACCTTTCATGGGAGTCTGTTCCACTGTCAAACAGCTCTTACCTGCCACTTACAGTTACAAAATTGACCCCCCCCAAAATAAATACACAAATCAATTGATCTTCCAAGAGCTATCATATTCCAAACAGTAGTAACATTTATAGAAAAATGTGGCTTTTATGACAGGAATTAATCCTGCAAATATATGTTTATTTCAGTAGCACATAAATGGGGAACCTTGTGCACAATAAAAAAAAATACTCTAAGTGTATTTATTTCACAGTAAATCTTACAGGCAGATTTTTACATGCAAGTTTTGAAGTCTTAGAAGCAAGAACAGTATATACACCTTTCACTAAGTTTTAGGGGGAAATATCCTTTCTTCTAGCAACTGTATGCTTCTTTAGTTCCCTCCTCATTCCTTGGATACCTTGGTTCAGATACAAAGATGTTTAAAGTTGCTCACCTATGTGCATTGGGACTTTCTGGGCTTCCCTTTTATGGAACAATTCCCTGTACTCCCCCCTATAGCCATTCATGAGGCTCAGGGAGCCCACCTAGTGCCACACCTTACACAGTGTAAGGGGCTGAAACCCATATAACCTAGTTTGCAGAGCTACTGGTCTGCCTCTAGTTTGCAGAGCTACTGGTCTGCCTCTGTGCCTAATTAAAAACAAAACAAAAAAAATCTAAAACATTTAAACCAGTTAAATCAAACCAACAACCTTTATTGGCATCACAGTATAAAACATTTAAGGCACTGGGATAATTAAAAGGACAAGGGTGAAGCTATCGAGGGTTAGAAGGTCACACTGTGATCGTGTGCACTTAGATATTATACAAATCAGGTGAATGAATTAAAAGTGATAGGGGAAAAAAAGATTTGGAGTTCTCCAATTACAGATCTTGAGAATGGCTCAGAACAAAATACTATTTCCCATGATCACACTCTGATAAGAACTGCATTTTTCTCTTGTCAATATCCATCCCACATTATAAGGCGGCTGCATTTCTGTTTCTTATAACAAAATAAGAAAATAAGGAACATTTCCAAACCTACACTGTAAGATGTTGTTTCCATTTTGGACTATTAGTATTGTTGCACTTTTCTGTTTTCTTTGACTGTCCATCAACTGAGACTTCCACGTAAGGGCTGGGTCCAAACCATTTGTTTTTGTTTTCTTTCAACTTCGCAGAAATAACTATTGAAAGAGAATGAATGAGTGCTTTATTTGCTTCAGCAACTTCTAAAGTTTCTACTATTACCTAGCAAAGTAGATTATGGAACCACAGCCAAATTACAACTCTTTTACATTGACAGAAAAGACACCATGACATAAAGTCCTTTCATTTGGATGTAATATTTACATTGGACCAAAGATTTTCCCTTCCATTCAATCAATTTAAAACCTAAGATGAAACATTTGTCAAGTCATCACTATATCAAGCCATTTAATTTTCTTAAACCTTTCCAAAACTATATTCACCATCCCAATTCTGGTCCATTTAGCTCTTGTTGCTGGAATGCCCGCCTTTTGCTAAGTAATTACATGACACTTTTTAAAGCAGGGGTAGGCAACCTAAGGCCCATGGGCCGAATGCGGCCCAATCGCCTTCTCAATCCGGCCTGCGGATGGTCCAGGAATCAGCGTGTTTTTACATGAGTAGAATGTGTCCTTTTATTTAAAATGCATCTGTGGGTTATTTGTGGGGCCTGCCTGGTGTTTTTACGTGAGTAGAATGTGTCCTTTTATTTAAAATGCATCTCTGGGTTATTTGTGGGGCATAGGAATTCGTTCATTTTTTTCCAAAATATAGTCCGGCCCACATGGTCTGAGGGATGTTGGACCAGCCCATGGCTGAAAAAGGTTGCTGACCCCTGTTTTAAAGTAAACATAAAGATACACACATTTTAAGTTAGGTGTGAAGATGCATGCAACAATCTTAGTTCTGTGTGCTCCATTTGCACTCACACATATTCTTACGCTGTACCATACCAACCACAACCAATCTTTTATGTTACCACTATTGGCTGCAGCATGTAGCATTTCAAAAAGTGGACCAATTAATTTTGCATGTCTTCTTGTTGTCTTGGTGGTATTTATATAGCTGCACTAGTCAAATTTAGCACCAGAAGTGTTGAGTCTCTCGCTGCAGTTACGAAAGTGAAATAAGTAGTAAGTTTTAAACAAATGTGCTTTATTTAGAAAGCTGAAATGTGTTCTTCAGTGTGTGAGTTAAGTAATGAGAAAGTGAGCCTGACTCGACAAAATTAACATCAAGCAAATAAAAATCTTTCTCTTTAGAAATTGTACCACTTAGCTGGGGCAATTTTACCACTCAGCCAAGATATATTTTCTTTCTGCTCGCACCATTGCAAGTGGCTTATTTCTCTCTGGTCTTGCCTCACCATCAACTGTTCACATCTACCTAGCACTTTTACTGCCAAAATTACTCACATATCTTGTCAGACTGACCACTTCAAGCCCTTCTTTAAATCCCAGAATTGGTTTTTTGCCTGCACCAGGATGTTACATAAACCTCTTGCCCTTATCTTCAAAACCCTCCATGTTTCTCCCCCCACCCCCAATTTTTTTCTGTTGTTCTATCCCAACACACCGCTTCCTGTGATTTTCACTTACCCAGGTCCACTCTACTCAATTATTTGAAGAGATCTTCTGCTACTTGAAACAAACCCACTCTTTCTCCCTTGCTTTCCTTTATGATTGGAATGGCCTTCCAGAACATCTCTTCATGTGACTACCTATGGTCACTTGCTTCAAGCCCTTCCACACATTTTTCATGAAGCCTTTGAAACAACCCTGTTCTCAATATCCTACAACTAAAGTGCATGTAACTAAAATAATTGCACATTCTGCCCTTGTTCAACCCTGCCATCAGTTCCCTTCCCTTCTTCTGTTTCCCTATAAACCTCTTGAGGTAGGGGAATGCAAACCTGTTCTTTGTTAATTGCCATGTAAATAGATAATTCCATGTAAACAAACAAACAAACAAGTACACACTGCGTATGTGGAAGTAGCTAAGAAGTGGCAACTACTTGGCTATATGGCTTATCACTTGTGTGAGTGGTCAATCATAGAACATGTCATCTGTTGCTTGGAGATAAGTGGAATTCCCTACTTATTGCTTATGATCATGAAGGCAAGCTTATCTGTTGCCTCCTGGGCCAGTCTGCCTACCTCTTGATAGATAGCAGAGGTTGCTTAAACTCTTTCCCCCTAACCTCCCCATTTCCTGGCCGAGATCTCTCCATATCCAGTCTCCCCAATGTTGGCAGTCTCTTATGATGTTGTTACCTTGACTGTCAATGCTGCAGACCTACACAGTCCTCTTCCTGTTTTTGCAGTAGATGCACTACTGCCTGGGTCACTGCAAGTATTGACTAGCTAAGCCAAGCTTCCTTGGTAACACTCAATTTTTCTTGACTCAGGTGAGGCCTCACTGGGAATTTTTTTCTAAAGTAACACTCATGGGTGTTATATACAAGGTGAAGACGCTAAATTCTAACATAATAAATGATTTGCAGGAAGTAGATTCTGTGTTAACTACTTACAACACAGTTATGATAGATGAAACAGATTTTTCAAAACAAAACGGACTTTAAAAGTAAGTTGTGACACCGCCCCCAGTGCCTTAAAAATAAAAAAATCACCTATCATCTGATTCTTCAAGTTAGGAGTCTATACTGATCACTCATTCATATACCATATTTTTGGCCTTAACTGTCATAGTGAAGATGAGCCAAAATAAAGTTTCCTTCAAAGACCACTGTTGATATCCATTAATACATTCAAAGAAATATTAATGAATCAACAAAAAAGGAGGCAATGTGCATTCTTTCCTTAAAAGATTATTCCCTAGGCCAGTGGTTTTCAACCCTGGGGTGCCTTGAATGATTGTCAGGGGCACCGCGGGCAACACTGGACTCTATCCCTCTTTCTTTCCTTCCCTTCCTCCTCTGATGCCCTCTCGCATCTCAGCCTCACGAAGGCTTGTGGGGCTGTCGGTTGCAGCAGCCCTGGCTACAAGCTCCCCACTATGCACTATTTGTAATGGGTTAAAACCAATTTATAAAAGGTCTGTAGAAACCTACTTAAAAGACACTGAAATAACAAAGCAGTGATTAAACCAACAACACTAGCTGGAACAGAAAAATTAGTTAAAGGCTTCTGGCGCAAAATTCCATTAAAACACCTCTGAATCAACAAAGAGAAGGAGCAATGTGAACATAGTAGTGGAAAAATTCTGTTCCAGTGGTCACAGAGAAATAGTGACAGAGAACATGTTCAATCCTCAGCACCTCCAGGCAAAAGAAATCTTGGATAAGGCTGGGAAAGATGTTCTGATAATGTTAAGGACTTTGGGGCAGTTACAGTTAGATGGACAAATGGCTTGACTTGACATGAGGGATCTTTATATACCTTCCAATAGGATTTGTTTTAGATTTTCCCACAAAGATGTGGGAAAAGGCCACAAAGATAGGAGTCTGCAATTCCTTCAGTTGCCCTTAAAAGCAAAGGCTTTACAGTCAGCAAGCAGGCCTGTTTGAGACACTTACCAGTGATCTGAAGCTGTGATTTCATAGTTAGTCCACTGATAGGCTCTGAATTTGACCCATTGCCAGCCATACCACAGGAAGGTACATGAACCTGAATAAAGAAACAAGAAATATTAACTTTACTCTTGAGACAAAGAGACTAAAATTGAGTTCAATTGAAAAAAATATAAATATAAAATTAAGCTCAGTTGCCATATACATTAATATATTAGACAACTACACTATAGGATATCTAGGTAGACTCCCACAAGAGGTTGTGGACGCTCCTTCTTTGGAAGATTTTAAACAAAGATTGGATGGCCATCATATATGATCTAGTTGAGATTCCTGCATTGCAGGGGGTTGAGCTAGCTATTCCTCAGGGTCCCTTCCAACTTTACAATTCTATTGTTTTATACGTGATGAACAGACCAATGTATCTTAAGGCAAACCAGAACAAAACAAATACTGGTGAAATGCCTGTTGTGATCATTTGTAATGAAGGAGCCAAAATATGTGATTCTCTTCTCCTCCACCCCAACTCATTAGCAGATGCAAGCAACCAGTGGCTTGGGAATAAGGTTGTGTCTTCATCTTGCACATGATCACATTCATTTACTTTCAGTGACAGAGCTGAATCAAACATTCATTTATATGGTTACAAAGAGAAATAAATGTTCAACAAAAAAGATCACCACTGATACATCCCTCACCCCTTTCAAATGGACTTTGTTAACTGATCTCCACACAGACAGGAAAAGTATTGACATGGTCTCAGCTGATTCTATTACCAATTTCCAGTGTGAGCTACTGAACTTGCCCTGCCTCACCTGCTCCCACCATCCCTTTCTCGTATTTATGTTCTTTTCCATTAAAACAAAATGGTTTGTCCTTAATTTTCTTGGATTAGATCTAACTATAAAATATTTAGTATTTTATAGTATAACATCTGTATATACAGGAAAACTGTGCGATTAGACACATTAAAAACACAGCTAATTAACTAGTGCAAACTGAAGTTGGAAAACAGCTACATATACATACAAAAATGAAACTGAAACAAATTACTCACACTAGATAAAACCCCACATAACTGAAATATTTCTTCATGTACAAACTGCTCTCTAATTACCCCACAAAGAGTTTCCAAAATGGCACAGAGTTATAAACAGCTTCCGCAAACACCATGTGTCAATCTATTTCAGCATATAGTTCTGGACACTTCCACTAAGATTTGGAGAGTACCTGCCAGACTTGACTGAAGTTGTTTAATAATAATAATAATAATAATAATAATAATAATAATAATAATACCCCATCCATCTGGTAGGGATGAATATCAGAATCTTAGATGTGGAACTAGAAATTCTCATGTAAAACAGAGTTTTTTTGTTTCAAAGTTCAAGAAATCAATTATTCCTATTTTCAAATTTACTTTACAATTTTACCTCACAATTTGATAAGCAGACCTTAGTGTATTAAAGTTATCACCTTTGAATCAATAAGGAACCAACACTTTCAGGCTGGTAATAAAATTAATATTTCAAACATTTGCTTAGCTGATGTCAGCGGTGGTTTCTTCTTCCTGGAAATCCTTAGCTATAGGAAGCATGCTTTATGATCAAGAACCTTTTAGAATTTGCTGTATTAATGATGTGCTGCTCTCACCTCATGAACAAAAACATTTCCCTACTAGAAATGGCAGCTAACTTAATTATGTAGTTTGTAAGAAGAATAGAGGAAAAAACAACAACAGCTCAGCAGTTTCCTGTAATTCAGTAATTTTCAGCTTTGCATCTGTGTGGAAACTCTGGACTCCTACAGACTCCTACAGAGGTGCCACGTCCCCCCCCCCAGACAGAAGCTTTGTACTTCAAATGCTGCAGAACCACCAACAGCAGCAGCAGAATGCATGGGGGTCAGCGAGGATCCTGCCACTGTTACTCTTCAACACCCACCTCTTCGTGTTTGCATTGAATACGTACTTTTTGTGTGAAAAGCCAGTTAGTATCTTGGTTATTTTCCCCTCACTTAGTGAATTAGGGGGTCTCCCTCACTAATAGGACTTTTCATTTTGGAGGCTGAGCACTCTAGCATAATGCCCCATTGACATGTACGGCTTTTTACACAAATAGGAATCTATGAATAATTCACATTGGCGTGAGCTGAATTGCAGGGAAGGGAAAGGAGACAAAGAGCTTGTGATTCCTTTGTGTGTGTCCCCTCCTTTCTCTCTTCAGTCAATTCTAAATCCCTACTTCCCTTTGCTATCCTTTTCGTGGCAAAGAGGACAGACTTTGCTGCTGGAAGCATCATGCTTTAGGACCCAGGCTTCTATCCCAGACTATGCATGCAGTTCCCCAGTTATAGCCCAGGGAGGTACAATTATATACATGATTAAGAGGAACCAGGACTCCATGTGGCGCTGCTGAATATGACTATCAGATTCAGCTTACATATTCAGCAAGTTCCTGGTCTTACCTCTACCAGGAACATACTAGGTGGACTTAGGCAATTTCACCTTTAGTTCCCCATGTGTAACATGGGTGACCTTGGGCCAGTCACCATCTTTCAGTCTAACATACCTTACAGGAGGATAATATGGAGATGAGGTGAGCTATATTGGCCACCTTGAGTTCCTTGTATAAAAGGTGAGATACAAAGCAAAAATAAATGATGAGATAAAAATAATACTGTGCATCCTTATAGGATTGCTATGTGAATTACAACAATAAAACATAGGCCAATTGCTGTAAGCACTATATAAATGCTAAGCATGATTAATATTAATTTCTTCCTACTATAATTACTATTGCAAATAGTTAGCTTGCTGTATGCACATATGAGAAAGGTGGGGGATTTGTTTTATGGAGCATGGGACTCCATGGGTGGAGATGAATCAAACTTCTGGGGGCCAGGAATATAACCAGCCTATCTTGGGATGCACAGCTCTAATTTGCCTACTTTAAGAAAACACTGATGGTTAAAAAAGCATTTTCACAACCTAGCTTTATTTGTCCCTATGGTTAAGAGGAAAGCCTCTGGGCTTATTTCAGTCATATGAAGTAATTCCTATTTAGCACAGACACGCAACCTGTTTGATTATCTCTGAAAAGACAGAGACAATTAGAAGTTACTTTCAACTTGTCAAAATTAACCATAGGTTAATGCTCTAGCTATAGTGTCTGACAGCACCATGGAGGAGACCTGTGTGAATGTTTAACAGAAAGGAATACAACAGACAGAGAAAGTTACTATTTGTTATTATTAACCTAATGGTGAATTCAGATGCTGAGTTTTATGCCGTGCAGTGATCTCTATTTAACATAACCCATTGGTGGCAAAATTGTCTGAACCAGTTCAAGGGCATCACATTTCACTTGGTTAAAAAAACGTTCCTCTGAAGGGCATGGGCCTCAGTAATTCAACTAATCGGGACCTCCTTTGCCCATGACTTATACCACATGATCATCATGGTAGGAGATTAGTCATCTGAAACAGTTATAAAAGGAAATGCTTCATATAAGCATCCAATAACCCTAAAACATTAGGTAAGGAGAAGTTTCTGATGCTCACTATTATGCAAGTCTGCAGATTTTGAATCTTTAAGAGCTTTCACAACTGCAATTGATAGGTTTAGCAATCAAGACAGTAGTGAGCCCTGAAACATCACCATCCACCTATACAAGTGATGGAAAACTCATTCTCTAAGTGCCAGTATTTAAGTAGCCAAAACAGCACTAACCACCCAGACAAGGGAGGTATCACTAGCATTACTGGGGACCCAAAATAGGCCAATGAAGGATGAGTGGTCATACAGTGCTGGCTTACTGTTTGGGGGATGGAGACTAGGGAAAGGGGGAAATAAAATGGGCTGAGGTACCCAAACTGGCCGCCATACTGAAGGGGGGGGAGCGCTTAAGGTTAATAAATAACCCCAAATAGTGTTGCAAATAACTCATTTTGAGTTCATTGTTGAATTTATTAACTTCATCTATAATATGGCCATTCTGAAAGCTTTAGCCGCATCTGTTCACCAAATTTCAGCATCCTCACTTTACATGAAGAATTGTAAAGCATATAAAAAGATGTCAAAGACTGAAGGAACTGATTATTCTTAGTTGAAAGGTATTTATTTTAAAAAAGTTGCAAATAGGCAAAATACTGTTAATAAGCAGGCTTATGAGTTTATCTCCCCTACATGCAATCGTCATGGAAAACTAATTAACAAGCTTAAACTGGGAGATTAGGTTTAAATTGAACAAACGTTTTCTAGCCAAAGAAATAGGTGAGTAGCAAACAGATTAAAGGCTGTCACACTTGTCTATTTTTAAATGCACTATATAAAACAGAAGATGCAGCAAGTGCCTTCTTTAAAGGCAGAAGTAAAGACTACTTGGCACTTAAGTGTCTTCTACTCTTAATATCCTGTTTCATTTTATATTGAATGTCAGAAGGTGGAGAATGAACTGCAGACGTGTGTCAATTTTACTCAGTATAAAATATATTTAGCACATATATTTGAAGTAGGAAATACCTTGAATGGATGCTGTTTCAAGGTACCTATGATGGTAATAACAATAGGTGTCACATTAAAGCATGAACTTTACATGTTGTAATGTCTGATCCCAGACAAACTGTAGTTAATCTTAACTATGGTCTGAACAATCCAACTCCAGGAGGAGGAGGGAATGAAAGCCTATGTCTTACCGTGTCTTGTTCTCAAAGCACAACTGATTGGCTAGAAGATACCTACTAGTATCTTTTACTAATTTAATTTACAAGCCCTCACTACTGACCAAGGGTTTGGTATCATAGAAATTTTAATTGTCTACAATTGCTTGAGGTGCTGTGATGTAACTGACTGTTCAGTAACATTCTAGTAAGAGGCAAACAATCAGCACAAAGGGACCAAGGGCAAAGCAAACTTTGTACAGCTGATGTGTGAAGAGCCGTAAGAAGGCAAATTTCGGAAATACCCTTTGCTTCCTAAGTTATATTTGAGGATGTGATTGCTAGATTAGGGCCTGGGTGGTGGAGCGAAATGCTTTTCCTGACAGTGACTCTAGCTTACACGTTTGTTACTGGCAGGAATCAGAACAACTCTAAAAA